AAAAAATTCCATTGTCAACAAACAACATACTGTATCAATCTTTTTCGATCTAGAGAAAGCATATGATACAACGTGGAAACATGGTATTTTAAAAGATTTGCATGAATTTGGATTGAGGGGCAGATTACCTCAGTTCATATCTCAATTTTTAAACAACAGACAATTTCAAGTACGAGTGGGCTCTACCCTGTCTGATCATTTTGATCAAGATCAGGGCGTCCCTCAAGGCAGCATACTATCAGTCACCCTTTTCAGCATCAAAATAAATAGTCTCACTAAAGTATTAAACAATAGCATTGATGGTTCACTTTTTGTGGACGATTTCAACATTTCTTGTCGTGGTAAGAATATGAATACAATAGAAAGACAGCTACAGCTCTGTCTTAACAAAATTCAAAAATGGGCAAACGAAAACGGCTTCAAATTTTCTAAATCCAAAACAAACTGTATTCACTTTTGTCGTAAATACAAACCTCACAAGGATCCAGATTTATTTTTAGATGGTACTCCTATCAAGGTAGTAGAGGAGGCCAAATTCCTGGGCCTCATATTTGACCGTCATCTCACATTCTTACCACACATTAAATATCTCAAGGCAAAGTGCCTGAAGGCTCTCGACTTGTTGAAAGTCGTTTCAAATTCCGAGTGGGGAGGGGATCAGACCACCCTCCTTCACTTGTACAGATCATTAATACGCTCCAAACTGGACTATGGTTCCATTGTCTATGGTGGAGCCTGCAAAAGCAATTTAGAAAAATTGGACACTATACACCATCAAGGCCTAAGACTTTGTCTTGGAGCTTTTAGGACCTCTCCCGTGGACAGTTTGTATGTGGAGGCCGACGAACCTTCACTCGAACTGCGCCGCATTAAACTTTCACTGCAATATATCACTAAATTGCACTCAAATAAATCTAATCCAGCGTTCAATTGTGTTTTCCACCCTCAATATGAAAACCTGTTTCGAAATCTATCAAAATTGGTTCCACCACTTGGGATCAGAATTCAACCACACATCACTGCAGCTAAAATAGACTTAAATATTATATCACCCCACCGTCTTCTGTCTTCTCCTCCCTGGCAGATGGTGAAGCCAGAAGTAGACCTCACTCTAACCAATCTAAAAAAGTCGGCTACCAATCCTTTGGTATATCAACAATCATATAACCAATTACGCTCCAAATATAATTCTCACAGGTCCATTTTTACAGACGGGTCCAAGGATGGTGGCAAAGTTGCAAGTGCCACCGTCGTTGGATCCAGAACTGTCTCCTCAAGAATCCCAGATTTTAGTTCAATTTTTACTGCCGAGGCCAAAGCTATCCTAACAGCTTTGACCTATATTAAACAACAAAACCAATCTAAAAATTTCATCATCTTCTCTGATTCGTTATCTTGCCTTCAGGCACTTAAAAGTGTCTCACCATATCACCCTATTATCCTTGACATTTTAGATCTCTATAATGATCTTTCCACTGGCCAATGTGACATCGTCTTTTGCTGGTTGCCAAGTCATGTAGGCATAACAGGTAACTCAAAAGCCGATGCTGCTGCTAAAGCAGCTCTTGACAAACCGTTATCTCCACTTCGTATCCCGTACAGTGATTTCAAACCTACCATCAAATCTTATACTCGGGATCTTATGCAAAAGAGGTGGGACACCCAAGTAGGAAGCAATAAACTCCACGAATTGAAACCAACAATCGGTCATACCTACTTGGGTTGTCAGTCAAGACATGACGAGGTCGTTTTACGACGGTGTCGTATTGGCCACAGTCGGTTTACACACGAATATCTGCTTAAGACAGATGAGGACGAACCTCCTAAGTGTATCCCTTGTGATGAAAGGTTCACCGTTAAGCATATATTGCTTGACTGTGTGGACTTTGCAATCGCAAGGGATTCACATTATCAAAGTGTAAATCTAAAAGATCTCTTTTCCCGTATCAGCGGGCATCTCATCATAAATTACTTGAAAGAAATTGGTCTGTATAATAAATTTTAAATATGTATGTGAATAATTAAATGCTTGTTTTTAAATTTGGTGTGATGCTATTAGCAACTGACATTATTAAAGGCTCTGTCCAGGAGGTTAACGTAGCGTAAAAATATTGTCCCCCTGTGTGACACGTAATCCTCTAGTAATTGATGTAACTATCATCAACCAGTGTTTTAAGCCAACTCATTGATGAGTATTTTTTAATATTGGCTAGTATTGTGCACAACCACCAGTGGCTAAAGTGATGACGTAAATCCTGCTAGGGTATCATGCAGGAAGCAGAAGTACTGTAAGTCCCCATGATCCCCAGCGAGGTGGCCTAGCTTTGGTTACTGGTGGCCTATAGCCTGTTTTTTTAAACTGTATTAATGATATTGTAATGCTCATATGTTTCATCAATTGTTTTTAAATATAGTATGCTCCAATATGTTTGATAAAGTGTTTTTAAATATGTCATTGCATAAATGACTTAATTGTACATATATTAGCTTGGTCTCGTCGCTATATGGCTGAAATAATGCCGATGCGACGTTAAATTTTAACTCACTCACTTAACGTGGGCTTTCCGAATGATGCGTATTTCGCACAAGGTAGTGCTTATCAACATAGGTGTATATACTTATTGACATCAAAGTTTATACAGTAAATGATTGATGGACACAGAGTTGATTAAGATAATTGGAAGCCGTTTTGAAGACTAATGAACACAGAGTAAACAGTAGTCTGAGACTACAAAATCAGGAAACTCCTAGAAGCCATCTACATCAAAAGGATCCAGCCAGCAATGAACAGAGACCAAGGGTATTACATCCCGCCTGCTAACCATCACCTAATTGCTAAACCCCTTGTCCATCCAATTAATCCACTGGCTCCTTGTTTACTCTGTGTTCATTCATAGAACTCGTCTTATTTCATCACACCAACTTCTAAATGCCACCGTAAGAAGTTAATTGTTGAACTGTTAAAAACAAATGCTCCAAATCCACATTGCAGGAGAAGCAAGCCCTCTCTAAGGTTCTGTCAAGTAACATCTTGACAGGTTATTCACTAAAATAAGAAAGGAATTAGGAGCATCAAGTAGTTTAAATGAAAAGAAGCAAATTTCCGTCATGAAAGGAAGGCAAAGAGTAATTCCATTTCATCTACTGAGGATAGAATTTCGCAGTTCTTCTCACGAGACGACAACAGTTGTCAAAAAAGATACCATTACGGAAACTAGAAAAAAGAAGCGTTTTTTACTAGATTCTGTCAAATTTCTTCACTGCTAATTTACATCAGAAAATACAGAGTGTCAAATCTGTCTTGCTACCTTCAGAAGGATTAAGACTTTCTGGGTTGTCATGCCTTCACAGAAGGACAGGGACACTTGCATGTGCAGGCCACATGACAATACAAATATGCTGATAATGAGACTTACTGAAGTTTTGTCTGAGAGCATTTACTTTGAAAATGCAAAAATACCGTCAAATATCTGTGGAGATTGTGCATTGTGTAATAAAAAAAACATTGGCCTTCTGTTGGTCTGTCCAGCAGATGTAATATCCAGATCTGTTGTTGGCTGTGGACCCTGGTCGAAGATTGGTTTGTTTGTTTGGTTGGTTGTTTTACGCCACACTCCGCAATATTCCAGCTATATGATGGCGGTCTGTGAACAATCGAGTCTGGACCAGACAATCGAGTGACTGACATCATATGCATCAACAATTGGTTTGTTGTTTAACGCCGCACTCAGAAATATTCCAGCTATATGGTTGGTTGGTTGGTGGTTGTTAAACGCCGCACTCAGCAATATTCCAGCTATGTGACGGCTCTCTGTAAATAAATCGAGTCTGGACCAGACAATCCAGTGACTTAATATCGTGAGCATCGATCCACGCAATTAAGACCGATCACATGCATCAACCAAGTCAGCGAGCCTGACCCCCCGATCCCGTTAGTCGCCTTTTACGGCAAACATGGGTTGCTGAAGACCAGACAATCCAGTGATTAATATCTTGAGCATCGATCCACGCAATTGGGATCGATGACATGCATCAACCATGTCAGCGAGCCTGACCACCCGATCCCGTTACGACAAGCATAATCACCTTATACGGCAAGCATGGGTTGCTGAAGACATATTCTACCCTGGAATCTTCACGGGTCTCGATTATTTACAGACCGCCGTCATATAGTTGGAATATTGCTGAGAGCGGCGTAAAACAACAAACCAACCAACCAACCGTCTAATGAATTATCACTCATGAGCGAGATAAATTCTGTGCTCAGTTAGTGTTAGGAGAGATCGATATACTTACGAGATAAACTGTTTTCAATATAGAGCTAGGTTACGTGTAGATTTAACCGCACATTGAAAACACATGTTCATCTGCATTCTACCTTGACTAAAAAATACACACCCGCGAGCTCTTTGGTGTCAGCAAATAGATTGAGTGATTCGGCATGGGTAGAGTTCAGTGTTTTGAGTGGGTTGTCGTTCCGAATTTACGGAATCAGCGACAACAGCATTTAAACAAATGGGAATCTCCTTGCTCAAGCAGTTTTTTTTACACCGTACTACTTCACTCAAACGTATGACAGGGACTGAGGCATGTTGCACTGCAAAGGTTTTGTTGTATTTTGTTTTGTATGCCTCTTTTTTTTGACGTCTTATTATGACGCGTCTCGTGAAGATTCCGGGGTAGAATGGGTCTTCAGCAACCCATGCTTGCCGTAAAATGTGACGCTTGTCGTAGAAGGCGACTACCGGGATCGAGTGGTCAGGCTCGCTGACTTGGTTGATGCATGTCATCGATCCGAATTGCGTGGATTGATGCGCATGATATTAATCACTAGATTGTCTGGTCCAGACTCGATTATTTACAGACCGCCGTCATATAGCTGGAATATTGCTTAGTGCGGCGTTAAACAACAAACCAACCAACCAACCTTATCATGACGCCCATATATACCACGTGAGTCGGAGAAATATGCTTATTATTAATAAATTCTGAAGATGCTGTAAACATGAGTTTTTAATTTCTGTATCTAACATCCGCCAGTGTTGTGGATGCAGACCTTCAGTTTGACATCGTACCGAGTGGTGGCCGGACAGGCCATGGGGTACTTGATGTTGTTGAAGCACATGTAGAACTTGGTACAGTCACTCTCGTGGGCGATCATGACGACACCAGTGCTGGGACAGGACTCCGCCGTCTGGGGAGCTGCAGTGGTGGCAGCATGTTTGCAGGCGGAGATGGCGGAGTCAAACACGGTACCCTCTGCACACTGATGGCGATAGGCCACGCCATTGCTGCACTGGTAGAAGCGTCTCTTATTGGTGGCGTGGGCGTGGTAGGTGGCCTCATCTTCTGGACAACGATCTGCAGGAACAATAGTAAACCACTATCCAGATGTTAAGTACTGAGGATCAGAGGAAGTAGTGAGTACATTACTTTGGTTTAACAGCTCTTCGATTAAAATTTCTTTTACATGTATACGTGTCAGATTAATGAGAGAGGAAGACTGAAGTGATGCCAGTTTTAGATGGTCGCCACTTTAGGAAATCCACGAGTTCGGGTATGATGCTGGCACAGAAAGAAACGTTATCAGAGGGAACTTTGATTCGAACCCCCGACCATAGGATTCTGGCACTACGGGCCGCAACTCTACACAGCGAACTGAGATGGCCTAGATGACTGGGCCACCAATTCCGCATATGAAAGTCTGCTAATGAATTACCGATCAAATTTTAAATTGGAACGTTTTGCATTTCTTGTCATTGTCAGGGATTTCTGAGACAAAATACAAAAATTAGAATGGCACACTTGTTATCGATCCCCGCTGTAACATGAACCAGAAACATTTAGAAATAAGATAATTAAATTTGATGACAGAAAAAATATATTTTATCTGTTCTTAAGCTGTTCTTGATATGATAATACATGTACATTACACATACCTCCACACTCCTCGGTGTTGCAGTTGATGGTCCTGTTCTGGAAGCTCTCTCCGTCACAGTCGGCCCCCCCGAAGGCCGGGGTGGGGTTGGTACAGGTCCTGGAGCGGTCCTGGTCCTTGTTGCCTCCTCCACACAGGACACTGCACTCATCCAGGTCCTGCCACTCTTCCCAGTCGGTCCAGCCACCGTCAACTGAGCAAGCGTGTGATCATGTTGAGATATTCATACGTATTTCCCTGCGTTTTTCAACTGTTTGGACATTTTACTTTAGTGATACGTGATAATCCAGATTTGAAACAGACAATATGTAATTAAATTAATAGCAAGTTGAATATATATATTTTTTAAATGAATATCAGCATTACACAAATGCGTACACTGTTACCACACTAATATTGTACCATCAATGATTTATATCATAAATTAATAGAGCTATTTCTGTTACTGACTCGGGCAGGGATGAGTGTTACAGTCCCTCTCAGATCTGTCCCTGACATCTCCGACACACTCCTGGCCTCCGTGGGCTGGGGCGGGGTTGGTGCACGTCCTGTCTCTGGTCTTGAACTGGGATCCTCCTCCACATGTAGTAGTGCACGTGCTGTAGTCTGTCCACGCGCTGTAGTCACTCCATCCACCATCAACTGTAACAAATCATTTACAATGATACATATCATGATATTATGAATATGGATATATTTACAACCAAATGAGGTGTAACACATGCTGTTTAATCAGCCCCATGATGATTCCTGGTTAGAAGAGGTTCCCAGCTATATGTGCTGGTCGTTTCCACCATCAACTGTAACACATCCTAAACAACCACAAGGTCGCGTTGAGGAATGTCATGATGCATACGTCAGTTATGGAAGATTTTACCCTTCCAAATGCGGGAGGAGGTACCCACCCTTCATGTGGTCCTGGAGTTGTTGTGAATTCATTCCACACCAACTTTGGAACATCATAGGTTTATGAGCAAGCTTTAGACTGTGCAGAGTAATGTTACGATATCATTATTGTTTTGATATCTGTATACACTCACATCGTCGAATTCATCCTTGAGAAGTTACAAGCTATCGTATTCGAGGTAAAAAGTATTAGTTTACCAATGCCTAGACAAGTGATTCGGGACCGATATTCTGGGATGATGGCAGGCATTCTTTTTACTAAAATAAATATTACCAAGAAAAATCTTGAAAAAAATATCATGCTTCAGATTTTTGAAATTGTCTGCCACAAATACTTATTTGTTGATAGTTCTTATTCTGGCACACCATTATTTCCAATCAAGTGAGTGAGTGAGTGAGTGAGTGAGTGAGTGAGTGAGTGAGTGAGTGAGTGAGTGAGTGAGTGAGTATGGTTTTACGCCGCTTTTGGCAATGTTCCAGCAATAACACGGCGGGGGACACCAGAAATGGGCCTCACACATTGTACCCATGTCGGGATTCGAACCCGGGTCTTCGGCGTGACGAGCGAACGCTTTAACCACCAGGCTACCCGACCTCCCCTTTTCTTATCTGAACCTCACATATACACGTATGGACATTAGTAAACAAACGGTTCTTGTAGTCGCGTGTATACATATCACTTCCCACCTATACAGCCGTGTGTATTACAGCTTATCGTCTGGGTATCTCTGCTGGAGCCAGTGCACTGGGAACCGCCGTTAGCAGGTCTCGGGTTGGTGCACAAACGTGTGCGGTATCTCCTCATTGTTCCCCCTCCACATGTGCGCGTGCAGGTGCTCTCCGTGATCCATGGCCCGTAACTCGCCCATCCACCGTTCCACACTAGAGAAGAAATATCCATGACGTATTCATACAACATGTTTTGCACCTAACCTGACCACCTGAACACCCAATCCCGTTAGTCGCCTTTTACGACAAGCATAGTCACCTTTTACGACAAGCATGGGTTGCTGAAGACCTATTCTACCCCGGAATCTTCACGGGTCTTTGAATTTTGACCACGAAGACAACAACCGTCGAATTATCATGCTCTTGTCAATCTTCAAAAAGTTATCCTACATACAGGTGTACTCTGTTCATTCAGAAGCCCCGGGTCCGGGTTAGATCAAATAACCTTCGAATAATCTTGGGAGATTCTGTAATCACCATGAGTCTTCCTTCCACACTTACCTGTCTTGTAGCATGTCGACCATGTCTGTCTGAAGCATGGAACGTTAAGTGTGATTTATTAATTGGTACATTGGTGGCGTTCATTGATGACATACATGTCTATGCACAAGCATACAATGTTCTAGGTTCCACTCAACAAAGGTTGCACCTTTCAGTATCTCTGTGGTCACACTGTGATGCATAAATGTCATATATATAATCATATTTGTCAAAAGTAGACTCAGTTTATGGATAACAACTTCTTTAATACTGTAAAGGCGACGTTTCGGTACAGCTACTTACACCGTTGTCAAGTAAGGCTACCTTTACAGTATTAAAGAATTGTTATCCATAAATTGTGTCTACATGTACTTTGTCATCTGTCAACTTCTAAGTAATGCCTATCAAACAATGAATCATATTTGTCCATGATACACCAAACATCCTTCTGTCAAAGTGTGTCATGTTACCCATATCAGATGGATTTGGATGCTGTAATTTAGGTTTGTGTGAACTTTAATGTGTTATATCGCTGTGATTCGTTGTCAATCAGCCCACTGCTACTCAATATTTACATTATGATAGTGAATAGAGCCCAAACTCATGATGGTTATGTGTCTAATCCCCATGGAAATCCCGTCCAAATCTTATTAATCAACATTTGTTTCTACGTATTAACTCTGTGCAACTGTTTGATGTAGATCTTAGAAGTTCACGAACAATTTGGAAGTTATTGCAAAAGAAATGCATCTTTGTGTCCCTATAAAAAAATCGAGTGGTTTATATATTTAAGATATATATATATATATATATATATATATGTACAGGATTTTCCATTGGACGAGAGTTCGGTCACATGACCACGACATTGACGTTCATAAGTGTATGAATGACACAATTTGACGTTCATATGTTTTTCAAGAGACCGTATTCTTGAAATGACGTAAACACTGACGGACTGCATACACATTCCTGGGTTACTTACCTAATATGGGTCTATGACAAGCAAACAGCCTATATTTATTTGTCGCAATGCAGTCTGTATGACCAACGCAGTTTACAGCAAAATAGGCGTAACATAAAATAAGTTAAAATACATACAGCTATAAAGTGGCATCGTACCATGAGGATGTTTTCCACAAGTGATCATAACAGCTCACTGTAAGGTCTATTATTTATATTTATGGTATCACAAAACTGCACATTCGACCACAAAAGCATATAAGTTTTTTTCAAAGTTGTAAACTAGTGAAGGATCTGTAACATTTTAAGGGGTCTTTAATCTGATGGCTTATGATGTAAACATCTGAAAAGGGTTGTATTACTAAATAAGAGTGAGTGAGTGAGTATGGTTTTACGCCGCTTTTAGCAATATTTTAGCAATATCACGGCGGGGGACACCAGAAATGGGCTTCACAGATTGTACCCATGTCGGGAATCGAACCCGGGTCTTCGGCGTGATGAGCGAAAGCTTTAACCACTAGGCTACCCGACCGCCCCAACTAAATAAGACGTGAAACCAAATGATGTCATCGTGTGGATTGACATCATACTTGTCACTGACTGCCCGTTGTGGGTGTCCCCTTGGAAAATAGTGTGCCGACCATTTGATCTTTTTGGGGACGGGAAATGGGATCTAATGGGCGAGAGGGTTTGATGGGATTTGTTTTAAAAGTATTTATATAAATGCTCGAAAGAAATAATGTGTCAAAAACTAGATCAACTGTTCACTGGAGGTGATAGACAAAGGAACATATTCTGTCTCAAACAGAACGCCTACATGTTGTGTGGACTGACGATGTAGGTATGGGGCGAATTAGCACAAACAATAACTCTAGTAATGGTTTTAAGTAAATTATGCTTCATATACTAAACGACAGCTTTTAGAATAGATCATGCATTATAGAATGATAGATGGTCCAGAGAAATGCACATGGTTGCCAACTATCTAGCCGATAAAACTAATATAAACTTTCTGTAGGTTTAAATGTCAAGGAACAGTTCCAGCATGCGGAATAGCGTATCTCCTGTTGTCAAACCAGGTCATCTTGACAAAGGAAAGAAATATCTATTCACTTTCGCTGCCAATACATAAACTGTCAGTTTGTTTCGATGAACATGTATATTATAAAGAATACTTCGCCCTTGAATACTATGAAGTGTATTACCTGTATCTTGTACAGCGTCCCCAACCAAGAAACCCACATTTTGTTGTGTATCGAGAAGACCTTGAGCAGCGGTAGGACACTCTCGCTCTGTAACAACAGTTGGAATTATTCATTAGTGATGAGTCCTGTTCCCCAGCTGTAGAAACCCAGATCCGTTCCCTTTATGATTTTTTGTTTGTTAGTACAGTGTCGTGGTCGTGGGTTCAATCAAAAGTGCTCCACATATTAAGTGAATATCATTGTGCAGTGACCCGTGAAGATCCGGGGTAGAATAGGTCCACGCTTGCCGTAAAAAATGACTAGGCTTGTCGTAGAAGGCGACTAACGGGATCGGGTGGTCAGCCTCGCGGACTTGGTTGATGCATGTCATCAATCCCAATTGCGTGGATCGATCCAGATTACTGGATTGTCTGGTCCAGACTCAATTATTTACAGACCGCCTTCATATAGCTGGAATATTGCTGAGTGCGGCGTTAAACAACAAACCAACCAACAAATCATTGTGCAGTTTCCTGCCACAGGGAGCTGACAGGCCATATGATGAACTCAATACTGGTGAACGTCGGATTAAACTCAACGTCAAACTCAACCTACAAGAACACCGTGCCAAACAACGACAACAGAGTATGAAGAGTTTACTCCCTTTCGCTGCTTGTGGGTTCGAATCCTACATTCCACCGGCACCATGATGTAGTGGATATAGTGTCTGTCCGTTTGCTGGCGATCCCCTGGTCGCGTGATACCAAAATACCTTAAAAGATGGTGCTTGTCTTCCGCCATTAAAGGGATAAAACAAGGACTGGTCGGCTCGGAGTCCGTCTGATGTGTCGGAGATGGGTATCCATGTGAGACTGTGGCAAGGTATTTCTGTTGGCTAGCACGATAAAATCGACATTCGTTCGAGCTAGCAGCAAACACACCTGCATGCACGTCGCTATGTAACTGCAAACAATTTGAACGCGACGTTGAACCACATTTCACTCCACGTCACCTCTGATTCTTGATCACGAGCCGAAAGTTATGATTATGTTCTCCTAACTTAAAACACATCCCTAGTTTTAGACGTTGACAAATAAACTCGACAACACCCTTTCCATAACCATAGAAAATATCTGCTAAATGCACAAAAAGTCCGTTGTACGATTGAGACTATATCACAAGTATATGTTTATGAATAACTATCAAATAGTGATGACTCACCTTTTCAAGAACACCTTGTATCATCACTATTTGATAGTGATTCATAAACACACGTTTATTAAATAGTCGGAATCATACAATGAACACTTTTGCAGATAGGTCTTATGCTTGTGGAAAGGGTTTTGTCATTTTTATTTCATTCTCATGTAACAGTTTTATCGATATGTGTGAATTCATCAACGACATTGACAGTTTACCTCTATTGCACAGTATATACAGTAAACGAGAGTCATTATCATATATATGAATACTATATATATTTATATATATATGTGTGTGTGTGTGTGTGTGTGTGTGTGCGTGCGTGTGTGTGTATATATATATATATACACTCACCGACAAAAGAAACACAATGATATATAAATAATTACTCATATTCAAGTGAGTGAGTGAGTATGATTTTACGCCGCTTTTAGCAATATTCCAGCAATATCACGGCGGGGGACACCAGAAATGGGCTTCACACATTGTACCCATGTCGGGACTCAAATTCAAGAGATATAAGACTATATAGGTTGTGTGAACTGACGCTCATGAATGCATCACATGTGACGTCACAGATCCATGAATCGAGCGTATGGTGATAAGAATGAAGACACTGTGTAAACACTCGATTGATTGTTAGTTGTGTCATTATTTGGTACACCTTGGAAACATCTCTTCTTAACTTACTTCTCCATATGTTTTTTATGGTTCGCGTTTCTTTGGGCGGTGAGTACTTATGTCACAGTTAATGTATTAAATCATTCAATTTTATTGAGGACGAATATCATTTTATGCTTATATGCAATGCTTATAGTGATTTAAGAGCTGAATACATTCCTCCTAAATATTTTACAACCCCCTTCGAAAAATAAATGTAATGCTCTTATGTCATCCACTAACTTTAAAATCATACGAAATCTAGCAGTCTACGTTTACAAAGCTTTTCGACTTCGTTCATTGCATACAGTCTAAGTATTTATTTGTATATATGCATGTGTATGTGTATGAATGTGTATGGATATGGATATATATGTAAAATAGTGGTAATTCTTTTTTCTTCCTCTCTCTGTAAATAGTTCTGTGTAATAGGCCTACGGCCTAACACTTTTTTGTGAATAAACAATATATAAATCATTGAATGTGACTGAAACTTTCACTTCGGCAATTTACAACATTTAAAAACATTTCGGTCATTTTACAATAATTTTCCTGTCAGACTGACTAAAAGTTATAAATAAGTTCAAAGGGGCTTAAAAACATCACAGTAGACTAAATATGCTAGAATTAGAATCCCAAAAGTAATATAATAAACACTGACTTTCGCTTTCTTTGTATCCTATTATTTTAAGTCACTGTGAGGTGTAATAGAACACAAAAATGTTTGTAATTCGTTATCATAATATCTGACATCAACGTGATATTTGCAACGATAATGAAGTTATTGTTTCTAAAACTCACGATCCTGGAGCAGCACGCGAAAGCACCGCAAACACTGCAACAACAACGAGCACGACGACAACGAGTCTTTGCATCGTTCTGGTCTGGCGTTTTGATTAACACCCAAAGCATGTACTCTGGCTTAAATAGCCTTGCGATTGCACCCTTAAGTAAATGAGGGTTGGTAGGTGGTAACATCCTGGTTCATCGATCAGGCAAAAAAACCTTTTTCATTTCATACCTGTACAACGGAGACAGACAACATGTTCATATGAAACGACAAGGTTAACAGTCATGCCATATGTTTTTCAAATATCCTTTTCAGCAGAATTGTGAAAAAGGAAAATATGTTTAAATCATTATGGTGGATGCATAATTGAGGTTTCCAGTTTTTGTGTAGTGCTGCCTGTCTGCCCGCTTGGTTAATACGCAGTTAGATCATGTGAGATTTGGAACAGTGCCAGTTGTCGATGTGACCAATATGGGTTACATTCAAAAGCAACACGAAACCCTTAACAACCTCACAATGTTTGTATGTTGTTGAGCGCCACACGAAGCAATATTCCAGGCTGTCCTGTTTGACGGCGGCCTGTAAATAATCTGTAAACCAACCAAACAACCATTCAATCTCTGACTATTATCGGTCTAGTGGTAGAGCATCATACTAAAACACGTTTGGAGACGGTACTTGTTGTTACCCTGCCTGGCGCACGGCATTAAGGGGCTAAAACGAGGACTGATCGGCTCGGAGTCAGTATACTGTGTCTGAGTGGGGTATTCATGTTAAACTGCGGCATGGTATCTCAGTGAGCTAGCACTTTTTTGCTCAGTTTTGCTCTTCATTATAATAACTTTGTTTTCACATATACATGTGGCAATACCCGACAAGCCTGTCATACATAATTATGGGGCAGTTTTCAATCTTGTACTGACTTACTCTGATGTTCCTGAGCGAAGCCTGTGGGCTTCGGTGTTATACCTGGTTTTTTTCTGGTAATCCTATTATTACTTTATTTTTTATCTAATGACACCCTGTTCTCTGGATCACGGCTCCGTGACTATCCATAACAATCAAAATAAACATTCAGTTCAAGTAAATGAATGAGTTTGTTTTGACGCCACAGTCAGTCAAAAACCAATGCTGTGAGGTTTGATAACATACACACTTCTACCAGGTCGAACATCGTGGATCCCATGTTCTACCTCAAGAGAATCATAGTTCATATGCTAATCCATCTGCGAATACCGTCCCGCTCACGATGACCTTACTTGCTGCTAAATCTATCATCTATCCCCCCACACTAATATAGTTGTTCGGCCTGTAAACGAACTAGCACTTGTGTGGCATATGGGCTTCGTTAAGACCTATAATCTTGTTTTTTCATGCCGACCCCGACTTCTTAAATCACAAGTCAGTGGGCTTGAATGTAAATGGACTATTTGGTTAACATCTTGAACAATTGTAGTCCATCTTTTTTCTGTATTTTTTTTTTAATGGACACTTTATGTAGCTACATACAACGGTTCTGTCCAAAATGTTTTACATGCAAAAAACAACACGCGCGCTGTTCATTTGCGTACACGTTGGTTGTGCCCTTAAACCTGCAGTGGTCTTAAGTCTACAATACTCATGAGTGGGCAGAGCTTTTGTGACCACGTGACACTTATTTCGTACGCACAACATCTAACTTCAAAACAGAAGTAACTAATGTTATATTTGGGATAAAACTTTCTTAGTAAAGTACAGATTCTAGTACTTTTTTTAGTTGAGTCCCGTGCGGGATTCGACGGGACTCAACCAAAAAAAGTACAAGAATCTGTACACTAAGAAAGTGTTATCCCAAATATAACATTAGTTACATTTGACCACTTTCTAAATGGCATTGTGTATTCATTCAAAACAGAAGTGCATAGGAAGTCTGCCGAGTTATGACAGCACACACTATCCTTTTAATCTTAACAACCTGTAACTTCTTTGCTAAAAAGGAAACTATCATATCAATGAATTGCTGTGAAATGAACGAAGCGAACTGTATATTACAAAGAGGTGTCGATAGATTGTGTATTATTAGCCAAGAATGTTAGGTAGAACATTTAATCGCTTTGATTGTCACATTTCCTTTTATATATTTGGTCCTAGAAAATAAATACTGGAAACGTGCTGAATATAGTAAAAATAAAATAAATTATAAAATGTATATTAAAAGTTATGTTTTCACACCAGTGCGTCATAACAACACTGTTGTTGAGGTGCTGTATGTTGAAGCATCTTTCGGAAAACGAACATTAACCCTCAATCTGATCGAAGACATATGGAATCATTTTAAGTTCAGTAGCGTTTACTTTAGGCATCCTAAATAGTTGTGATTTTTGCTTGTTGACACTCGGGTAACTCAGCAATATTCCAGCTGCATAACGGCGGTCCGTAAATAATTAATTGTATTATTAATTAATAAAATGCATTATTTTGGTAATCTTACATTATTCCAATTCAAGGGGTGTTCTCCCCATGCAGTTGTGTTCCACGGTCAAAGGGAAGCTACGCTTCCTGGTTACATAATGCAAGGGAGGCTACTCTTCCTGGTTTAATAGTGCAAGCCACCTTATCAGTGTATTATTCAGGAATTGTTCTTCACATGCTCTAAACAAAGGGAAGTAACCCATGTTGCAGCTGAATTTAGTTGCTACATCCTCTTTTCATCCACACAACCACACCGGTAACACGTTTTTCCCTCCCATCCCGCCCATTACTTCTCATTTCAAACGTATATATCTGTATAACATTTCCTCAATTGATAGTTAATCTAATTGAATGTATTTGTATGTATCAGGAACATGTACTGTTGCTTGTTTTCCTTTACATTGTAGTTGTGGCAAGTTTTGGACAATTAAGTATATGCGAGGCAAGAGGTGTCCTGGCATAAACATGCGTCGAACAAGTCACAGGGGTTTGTATGTGCACAACAGGTGAAGATCCTGGACTAGCACATTCTACACATTACATCGCACGACAATTGGTTTGTATCATCGCGTAACACTTTTGGGCTGGGAGTAGTGATTTTGGTGTTTTGGGGTTCTTTGAGGCATACCCTCTAGGCCTTATTGTTTAATGGTGGTTGTAGAGCCCACAGCAGACCGCCTATGCACTTTTCCCTGGGGGGTCCCATCATTTGGCTCCGAATCGTTTGTATCCTCGGAGCCGCGTTTGCTGTTCTGTGCGGGCACCTTTGGGTTGACAGTCAGCCGTGTTTAGCGTTTCCCAGCCCAGGAGTGTTCTCCAGTCATTGTACTTTTCTGTATATAAACCTGTGGCCTTACATCCAACTCATGTCTTTGTGTTTTTCTTGCAATGGTGCAGCATCTACTTCTGCTAAAGCATTATCCTAAAATAATCGACTTTGGGCTAGACAATCCAGTGATTCCCATCATTCACATGTGTCTAAACCATTGATAACCATACGATAAGCTTGGGATGCTGAATATTCTCACCAGAAATGTTTACTTGGGCTGAATACAAACCCTAAAGGCAATACAAATAGTAGTGAATATAGATCCCCATCTAGACATTATATAGAGTAGTGATGTTTTATTAGCGATGAAGATGGACCCCATAGACATTGTAAACAGTAGTGATGGTTTAATGGGATGAAGATAGACCCCAAAGGCATTATAAATAGTAGTTGTGTTTTAATGGCCAACCAACTGTTCACATGTGTTTTATATCCGTCAGGATGCTCAGCTTGTATTATCTGGAATAAGGGAAAATACCATCACTGATCATGTATTTCATCTCATTTTGTTATTTGCGAAATGTTAAATTTATAAGTGTAAATTGAATTTGAAAAGGAATATCGAAACAGATTTTATATAAATAGGGCATTATATCATATATTGTTTAAACATAAAAGTTCTGTCACTTGAATAACTTGAATTGTATGTATTTTTTTAAAATTCAGTTTTGTTATATATTCTACATGTATGAGGACCATTGTTAAGCTGTACAGAATGAATTAAATTGTTGTGTGGACGTGTGGATGTAAGGGGGGAACAAATCAGAATCTCTAGATGGTTATCGATCTGTCCGAAGTCGCAGCTCGCAAATACTGCACTGGGCGATCTACAAAGACACAAGAACTACATGTCATATACGTGATGTGCCCGATTGTGAGTAAAACATCGTATCAATGACAGCCGAGAGAGCGATGGGGAAGATAGTGTAACGTGATCACATAAGCTCCGCCGAACGCTCACGCGATGGGTAAGATACATTTTCTCCCTACCAACGCAGAGTGCAATGTTACATATATCTTGTTTGATCATGTTTAACTTTGTCGTTGTGTCACAAATAATCTGATGTGCAGAGATAAGCCTGTCCAGGCGAACTACTCAAACAACAATAAGTCGTTATGTCAAGCTTCTGTAGGACACGATCCTTAAAGCGTTCTGTCACGAACATTATTGGCGATTTAAACTACTGAAACACCTAAACACAAGGCTGTTATCAAGCGCGAGTGCAGACGTGATACATCGTAAAAACTGTATCGCGACGTCTTCAGAAATACAATTTCTTTCAAGATTTATACTACGAGATGGTAAGGCTACGCTTACTCACCGGTGGAACATAGACAATATCGCTAATACAGTTATCACGTATTTGAATGTTAATGCTGAAGACAAACACTCATTATTTTTGCAGTGACGACATAACACTTATGCACGTTTATTTATAGCTTTCATCAGTTTTGCTCTTCATTTTAATAATTTTGTTTTCGCATATACATGTGGCAATACCCGACAAGCCTGTCATACATAATTATGGGGCAGTTTTCAATCTTGTACTTACTTACTCTGGTGTTCCTGAGCGAAGCCTGTTGGCTTGCGTGTTATACCTGTTTTTTTTCTGGTAATCCTATTATTACTTTATTTTTTATCTAATGACACCCTGTTCTCTGGATCACGGCTGCGTGACTATCCATAACAATTAAAATGAACATTCAGTTCAAGTAAATGAATGAGTTTGTTTTGACGCCACAGTCAGTCAAAAACCAATGCTGTGAGGTTTGATTACATACACACTTCTACCAGGTCGAACATCGTGGATCCTCATCATTTTCTACCTAAAGAGAATCATAGTTCATATGCTAATCCATCTGCGAATACCGTCCCGCTCACGATGACCTTACTTGTTTCTAAATCTATCATGGGTTTGTTTGTTTGTTCGTTTGTGTGTTGCTTAACGCCGCACTCAGCCATAATCAATCTGTATGACGGCGTTCTGTTAATAATCGAGTCTGAACCAGACAATCCATTGATTGACATCATGAGCATCGATCCACGCAATTGGAATACGATGACATGCATCAACCAAGTCAGCGAACCTGACCAACCGATCCCAACCAGCATAGTTGCTTTTTTACAGCAAGCATGGGTTGCTGAAGACCTATTCTAACCCAGATCTTCACGGGTTATTTGGTGATGTACTTAGGAGATGTGTTAATTTTAAGCCGTCGCTCTATGGCCAAGATGCTATATAACTAATTCTAGTATACGTTACATTTGGGATTACGGCTTTTTAGTAAATTGAGTGAGTACGCCGTGTGGGGAATCGAATCCGGGTCTTCAGCGTGACGGGCGATCGCTTTAACTACTAGTTTATCCTACCACCCCTTTTAGTAATGTAAATATTCTACTGCCGTAATTAAAGTGAGGCACCCAATCACCAAGGCCTAAACTGTGACTAGACAATGCCTTTTGGAAAGTGCTCAAACGTAACATTTGTTATATTTGGGATAACACTTTCTTAGTTATGATGAACATATTAACTAACAGATTAAATAACTAACTCATTGATTTAAAGCAAGTAGATATTTGGGACAAAGTTATGCACTTGCGAATGATCACAATAATACAATATCTATCAGATAATTATTCAGTTAATACTTACTGAAGAGCCGAGTTGAAATCAGTCTTGGTAGGCATTGAGCTGAAATAACCGTGACGATACATATCGTATGACACCTAACAACCGACCAGGAAGCGATGTTACGTAAAGCTCTTTCAGCAAGTGCAGACAGAGTGGTTATTGATCGGGAGACGTCATTCATCAGTAAACACGGCATATGATGAACACCTATGTGGTTTCGTGGAATCCGTATATCTATACGACAATATCATTTTAATAATTAGCTTCCTGGTCGGTTGTTAGGTGTCATGCGATATGTATCGTCACGGTTATTTCAGCTCAATGTTAAGGCCGTGTGTACACTAAAAGAGCATTCAAATCACACCAATAGTTCAAACCTTCAATCCAATTGAACCTTATCAACAATCTCCAACGTCATAACATTTTCAATCACTAAAAAAGTGTTGTACAATACCACACCGATTCAGTATAATTATAAAGGCGACAAAATATTCATAAGAAATCTCTGGCAAACGTAGCGTGGACTGTACGATTCCTATCACTATCAAATAGTGATGATACCGGGTGTTCGCGAAAAGGTAAGCGAATCATGCCCCACTGGCTACACCCGTAAGGGCAGTTCAATTGTTCACCTAAAAACACTCGGGAACATATGGTACAAGTCAAAATAGAAAATTGCATCGGACTTAATTTTTGTCATTGATGAGTCAAATTTGGAAATGTCCTCCACTGTGGAATGTTGTAACCTTGATAAAAAAACGTCTGAGCCAGAGCTGTAGCAATATTGCTGGACACAGAGGGAAAGTTGACTATTGGAAATTTGAAGTCATCTCTCTTGTCATATGTCTTGTTTGAATATTTTTGACAGACACAACATGGACACAAATAGTCCATGCCCCTAATCAACTGGATGAGTCGTTCCACAAAACCCGAATCCGTAGACAGTGAATATGATATTAGGCATCATTCGCTTCTATTATATCACGTGTAGCAATGACCCGGGAATGATATTTGACTCTGTAGATGTTATGGTAACCCGGATGTTATGATGAATTAATAAATATATATATGGTTGTTTTTGCATTTGTTTGGTCGTTTTACAGTCTATACCGGTCAAAGCAACCCCGTTTCGGACATCGCACTTTGAAATTATTAATGGGTTTGGGTCATCCAAATTACTGTACGGGTCATCCAAATCGGGGACTGGTCGACCAAATGTGTATACGGGTCATCCAAATCTGTATACGATTCAGCCAAATAAAATACCAGTGCTCTACACAGGTACGAAGCCCGAAGTGATGCAGGTCTCAGACATTTACCACTTCGGTGAAACTCACGAGCACGGGTATGGTGCTGACAAACCTAGGAACATAATCGGGGCGAACCGGGATTCGAACCCCCAATCATAGATTTCTGGCGTGTCCAGGGGACGCAACTCTGCACAGCGAATCGCGGCGCCTTAGACGATTGGGCCACCCGTGCCCCCCGAAAAAGGAGAGATGGCATGAGCTTATGTATGCTCAACATGGTTAACAGGAACAACTTTGGTGTTTCTGTAAACAAATGTACTCAAAAAATATCCTCAGGTCCATGGAAGGTCTGATAAGAACTACGTCAGTAAGTCAGTTACAATGACAGTGTGTCGTAATACATTTACATTAAGTACAAGACGTCAAAATGGCCGACACCATAAACGTGACGGGAGAGATTTCCGAAGTTTTAAAGGAACCTGTGGCTATTACAAGGGTTAGTCATCATTGATCAATTGACTGATCATTGAAAGGTGTTGTAAAGATGTGTCAATAGATACTAAGGTGAACATACATCGCTGTAGACCGTCACTGTAGTCTAGGCACGGCATACTTCTATCGGAGCATCACACTGTTATCATAGCATTGCATCAAAGCATGGTGTTTCACTTGCTTTTGTTTTGTTTGTTTGTTGTTTAACGCCGCACTCAGCAATATTCCAGCTATATGACGGCGGTCTGTAAATAATCGAGTCTGGACCAGACAATCCAGTGATTAATATCATGAGCATCGATCCACGCAATTGGGATCCATGACATGCATCAACCAAGTCCGCGAGCCTGACCACCCGATCCCGTTAGTCGCCTTTTACGACAAGCATAGTCGCCTTTTGCGGCAACATGGGTTGCTGAAGACCTATTCTACCCCGGATCGTCACGGGTCGGGAATAGAAAGGAGTTATAATACACCGGATTATTGAGAATGAGTGGACAAGTGAATAGTGGTAGGCCACTGGGACCCAAGTTCCAGTGATCGGTTCCAAGACACAAAATTCGGATTTATTGGTCAAAACATTTATTAGCAACTAATAATACATCCAAAGAAAACTTCACCATAATTATATAAGGAAATTCACACATACAACCATTTACGCCGTTACGCGTTCACAACCCACACAGTCAGACCTCTTTGACTGTGTATGTACTGGGTGCCAGGAAGATGGAATAATCAAATATCAATTGCACAAGTCTGCTATTTCCTTCAGAAGAAAGTCATGTATGTTACATGTTTATCCATCTTTCCAAGGCAAGGGAGTTAACTGAATATAAAAGTCCAGTTTCCACCCTTGCCTAACTAGGCTGATATCATGGAGTTACATTTTGGCTGGACTAACGAGTCCAATCAAAATCGTGCAACGAAATCGAAGTCCGGTTCGTAGACTGTCGTGCAGATTTCGGTCGATTGCAGGATTTGCAAAACATGTGCACCGCCAACTCGTTGTCATCAGATATTTTCCAAATCTTTTCATGTTTTTAATCAAGGTGCTCACGCATTGCGCGATGTAAGACCCGTTTTATCACAACATAGACCTGGATTATCGATCAGATCGTCTTCACTGGGCGCCCCTGTTTTGTTTGAAGCAAATGCAAATGCTACGAGAGGTGGAATCTGACTGGTCTAAAGGAGAGGCTTAGAAGGGACATAACTCGTAATAGCCACTGGTGGCGCTACGATAGAGCCCAGGAATTCCAGCCTAGTTCGGCAAGGGTGGAAACTGGACTTTTAAAGTCAGTTAACTCTCTTGCCTCGGGAAGATGATGTTTATCCTGCATGTCTGTCATGAAATGTATGGATGGTTTTTCTGCTTTTTGCACACATAACAGGACAGGGAACAGCTGGCCATGGGCTGGGCGTGGACACAGAATCCAGATTGGTTACTAGCCATCACGTGAAATCTTGCAGCTGTACAGTATCTACGGATATCGATAAATTATAGTTCGATTTTTCAACAGGGAATCTTATAGTGAGTTACTGAATGTTGATTTTCCCCAACATCAGCAATAGTCCAGTAATGTCACGACTTTCTGCATATATCCGAGTTGGATAAGGCAACCGAGAGGATGAATGCATGGACACTCACTCACACATACAGTCAAGTCTCCTTAATCCGACACTCGTTAATCCGACAATCGGCTTTATCCGACACTAATGATGGGAACTGTTTAAATCAGTGATATCAAGACCCGTTAATCCGACAGTCTCGGACTCCTACTTCGACACACCTAATTCGCAACGCATTACCGAAATCACTCAAAAATAACAGTGATCGTTATCTGTCGTGTAGTTGTCCGATTTTCATTTACGAACGGTGATACTACTTATCCAAACATGTCGGATTACAGGGACTTGACTTCATATTGTTGTGAATGTAGGGTAATGATGCCAATGTGTTCAAGTCATGACATGGTCGCATGTATCTGCCTCTACTCTTCCTCCTCACATTATACAAGTTATTTCATATACATATATCAGTCCATAAATGAATGATTGTGGGCAATTCAAATCGTCTTCGGCATGTATCCTTTCTTGTGAGTTGGAAACCAAGTTACATTCAATCCAACTCACTCAAGGTCGAAATCTAATCCACCATGACATTTTATCAGAACTTTAATAATATCAACGCTGAATGGGTCCCATATTGCCTGTTAATAGGTTTGACTCCTTTAGACATCTGTCATTGTGAAAAGGCACGGAGCCTGATTAAAACGCCCCAGCTGTAAATTCCAATTACAAGGCGTAAGACCAAAACTAACACAAAACAAACAAAATGTTTCTCATCTCCGTCCGGGTCATGTTGAACCCAGCTGGTCGATGCGTTTTTTCCCGGTTTCCGCATTTTAAATTAGAGTCTTCAATAAGAGTTATCTTTCCCTTACTGTGTGATCGCCAGGATGAAAACATTATATTCCACCCGTTCCTTGTTGGAATTAAACAATGTCTCTTCATTTAGTCTTATCTGGTGTCTTCTTCCATTTGCTGTTTGAAAATGAGACCGTGTACACATTAATGTGGCCATAAAAAAAGAACAACGAACTATTTTAACCTTGCTATTTCAAAAATCGGGAATTGATGAGAAACACTTTGCGGGTGTGGTCCTAGTGTGAACATCATCTGTCCAAAAAAACACCCGCGTGGACATCTTCAGCAGCAGGCACGAGCCTTCATGGAACACCCGTGTGAATATTCATCAGTCCAGACAAGGCCTTACAGGAGGCCTTCAAAGGCCTTCATTATGGAATCCACTGCTATATAACTAGTCCTTAGAAGACATAATGAACTGAAACACATTTGTTCTTGGCCCAAATCTTTTCTGGTGGATGATCTCTTGGTGATAGCCGTTGATGAGTTGAACAATTTGTCCTGAAATTGAATTCATAATTAGTGGAATAACCATCGAGGATTTACAGATAATGCCTGCAGTTGTTTTCCTCGATTTTGCAACACTTTTGGACTCCAGGATTCTATCATATTTAACGTGTTCATTTTTCCAAAGTTAGAGTGAGTGAGTATGGTTTTACGCCGCTTTTTGCAGTATTCCAGCAATATCACGACAGGGGACCCCAGAAAAGGGTTCACACATTGTATCCGGGTGGGAAATTGACCTGGGCATTCTGCGTGACGAACGAATGCTTTTACCACTAGACTACCCTACCCACCTCGGACGTTAGAGGGGTACTGACGGATGCAAGAAGTCAGGCAGCGGAACATATGCACCTTGTCACCTCTTTACGAAGATGCTTTAATCCACACATGAATAATAAATAAATAAATAAATTCAATACTATGTAATCCAACCCAACTACCCGCTCACTCAGTCACCTCACATTTCAGCTGGGACTTATGATACGAACCTTTGACATTGACATTATTGTATTCCGCTTTCAAATGTACTAAACTGTCTACCTATAACCTCGTTACCTTGAAGTTCGAATATTGGTTAAGATGCAACATCCTTCTGACATTGTAACGGAACGGATGTGTTGCTACAGCAGATACGTCAACGTGTATTTTCCGACTCATAGTATCAAAATAGATAGCATGTGTCCCTGATTGTGCTGAAGAAAACAGTGATTGACATCATGAGCATCGATCTACACAATTGGAATACGGTCTGACCTGCCGGTCCCGTTAAGACGAGCATGTGTTGCTAAAGACCATTTTTCGCCGGGATCTTCACGGGGTAATTCATTAATAAAACAGTTATATTGGCATGAGCTGATATAATTGAACCCGTGGGAACTCAGTGTAAGTATAGAACCTCCAGCAACATACAAATGTATATTGGCCGTAAGAGACGACTACATGAATCGGGTGGTCAGGCTCCTGGTCTTGGATGATTGAATGTCTTGTACACCGACGGCGAGGGACGTTGCTTATAATATCAATCACTGGTTGCCTGAACCAGACTCGATTATTTACAGGCCGACATCAACCTTACCCATTATTACCTAACCCAACCCCCAAAACATACCAAAAATCCAAATATGTGGCACGGCAGTCGTCAGCCACTGATGATGTAACTAACATTACTGCAGCCGCCATAGTCGATTACGATGACGTGAAACAACGCCAACGAACAATGTATGGCCTTCCCAAAGCCGGGACATTGTGCTCAGGCCAACGTTGAAAGCCCATCTTCCCGATGCAAGGGCGTAGCTGACTATAAAACTCCATTTCGGCTTGATTAACGAGTCTATGCATAGTCCAATAAAAATCGCGAAACGAACTGGACACCCCGTTCGTAAATAACATTGAAATCAATGTGCAGATTTCGGTTGATTGCAGGATTTGTAAGGCACGTGTACCGCCAACTGGGCGTCAACAGATATTTTGCAAATCGTTTCATGTTTTTAATGAATGTTGTGAGAATGTAAACCTAAGTTAGTGTGTTGATATTTTATGGACGCTTTATATGCACTATTATATGCTTTACCTAATCTTATACATATATGTTAACCGGAAATGATCAGAATTAACTGCCCCTGATGTTTGAATATATGTGTCTGATGACATTCATGCATCGTCGATGTCAGACATGTGTACGGCTCTGTGAATAAATCTTTCATCCAAAGAGAGTAGTTGAAGCCCCTATCAAACAAAAGGTTAGAAGTATGACGAATTCAACAAATGTGCTCCAGTGATTTGATGCTCTTCGCGGGGTAAGACCAGTCGTATTACATCATCAGATCGTCTTAACTGGTCGCCACCGTTTTGTTTGAAGTAAATGCAAGTGATATATGAGAGATGGGTTCTGATTGGTCAATAGGAGGGACATAGAAGGGACATAACCCGTAATAGCCACTGGTGGTGCTACGATTGAGCGCAGAAATTCAAGCCTAGTTCGGCAAGGATGGAAACTGGACTTTAATTGTCAGTTGATGCCCTTACCTCGGGAAGAAATGTCTTGCCAGTGGTTCTTGTAATTCACCAGCTTCAAGTCTACCAAAAGCGTGATTTCTGGCATTATTATTGAGTCTTGGCGTGACTAGTTCTAAAATCTATTACGGTAAATGAATGATTTGTGAAAACTAACGTACCCAAGAGAACATTTCCACCCTTGCCGAAGTAGGCTGGAATTCCTGGGCTCAATCGTTGCGCCACCAGTGGTTATTATGAGTTATGTCCCTACTATGTCCTTCCTACTGACCAATCTGATTCCATCACATGCATTTGTTTCAACAAAATGGCGACGCCCAGTCAAGACGATCTGATCAAAAATGAAGATCTGTATTGTGATAAAACGGGTCTTACATCGCGAAGTGCATCAAATCACACGAGCACCTTGATTAAAAACATGGAAAATGTCTGTTGACAATGAGTTGGCGGTCATATGATTTGCAAATTCTGCAATCGACCGAAATCTGCACGACAGTTCACGAACCGGATTTCGATTACGTTGCGAGATTTTGATTGGCCGATGCATAGACTCATTAGTCCAGCCAAAATGTAACTCCATAATACCATGGGCCAGCATGGTTCGGCAAGGGTGGAAACTGGACTTTTATAGTCCGTTAACTCGCTTGCCTCGGGAAGATGCCAAGAGAACGGATCATACAAATATCAATGGCCTTCAACATTAACTCTATCAATGACAATACAATCGTGTTGTGACACTTTATCAGTATGAAATAACATAACATATTAAATCATTTACTTCCATCTAGCAGTGCAAACTTTCCATCAACGGAATCTTCTTTTGAAATGTCTTTTATCAACTGTGCGTTTCTTTTTTTGCAAACGATAATTTCAATAATCTCACCAACAGTGAAGTCACGGTCCGACAGATATCTGTGTATCTCCAACAGCTTGCCTCTGAATTCATCGTCCCCTGCTGTCATGAATGACAAGTGTCTCTGTGCTGCTGATGCTGCTAGCATTTGTATCAAAGCTAAACATAAAGGTGAATTAAGGTAAACACATGCTCACAAGAGATTTCTTATGATTTTGAAATTGTTTTTTTTTTGTCGCTTTTATTTCAATGTAAACAAAATATTCACATGTGCAAATGCATTTTTGCTATTTTTTAATCAACATTAAAAGGAAACTCCCAATTCGAGTTTTATTTTCTGTTTAAACATCGAGTGTGTAACCTTTTGAGTATTCATAGTACATGCGTTGAACGTTGAGATGTCAATTCTTTGAAAGGCATTTAGAAGTAATACACACAAGGAAGAGAATTTTTCTATTTATGGATGTCAACTTCTTTATTATGAGGAACACAACCTTTCAGAGTATATGCTTACTCCTCCATCAGGTGAAGATGCTTACGTCTTCTTCATCTTCACCTGATGAAGGAGTAAGCATATACTCCGAAACGTTGTGTTCCTCATGATAAAGAAGTTGACATCCATTAATACTCTTCTTTGCTGAGAAGTAATTTCAAAGGAAAATCAAGTATATCTAATAAACTTTTATCTCTACACTTAATTATAACACTCTACAATAATATGAAAGATGTACTTCGGTGCAGCCAGTGACATGTAAAACGTATTCCGTAAAATAATACTGATATGATTATGAGCTTAAGTGAGGCGATTTCAGTGTATGCACCAATAAGGGCACAGCTTAAATGGGAATAATTCAAATGCGTCATCTCTGCGAAAGAAAAGAAAACTGATGACACTACGTCAGCAAGGGCCTTGCCAACGCGTTACCTCTGCAAGCATATCATACTGCAGGGGAGAAGTGTTCGTCATAAGACAGGTGTAATCATCTTCCCGAGGCAAGAGAGTTAACTGACTTTAATAGTCCAGTTTCCACCCTTGCCGAACTAGGCTGGAATTCCTGGGCTCGATCGTAGCGCCACCAGTGGCTATTACCAGTTATGTTCCTTCTAAGCCTCTCCTATGGACCAATCAGTTTCCACCTCTTGTATCACTTGCGTTTGCTTCACACAAAATGGTGGCGCCCAGTCAGGACGATCTGATCAATGATCAAGATCTTTTTTGTGATAAAACGGGTCTTACATCACGAACTGCATGAAATCACGTGAGCACCTTGATTAAAAACGTGAAAAGGTTTGGAAAATATCTGCAGACAACGAGTTGGCGGTGCACATGCTTTGCAAATCCTGCAATCGACCGAAATCTGCACGACAGTTTACGAACCGGATTTCGAGTTAGGTGCGCGATTTTGATTGGACTATGCATAGACTCGTTAGTCCAGTCAAAATGTAACTCCATAATACCAGCCTAGTTCGGCAAGGGTGGAAACTGGACTTTTATAGTCAGTTAACTCTCTTGCCTCAGGAAGATGAGGTGTTATAGAACATACTACCTTTCAGTCTTTTGTCTCCTCCTGATGCCCCGCATCCCCAGTTGCCCGTCACCACCCACGGCAGTTGGGCAGGGGGGACATCGCCATTAAAGAATCCAGTATAGGCCTTCAAGCAGAAACATCTACAAGTTTGTTTGTTTCTTTCGTTGTTGTTTAAAGCCGCACTCAGCAATATTCAGCTATATGACGGTAAATTGTCGCGTCTGGACCCGACAATCTATTGATTTTCATCATGACCATCTATCCACGCAGTGGGAATACGATGACATGCATCAATGAAGTCAGCGAGCCTGACCACCCGATCCCGTTAGTTGCCTCTGGCGACAAGCATAGTCGCCTTTTACGGCAAGAATGGGTTGTTGAAGACCTATTCTACCCCGGATCTTCACGGGTCACATGGAGCGGTAGCCATGGAGCGGCTATTTTAAACAAAAAGGTATGTAAGTGGTGTGTAACAAAATGACAGGACACAGTATACAATGTTTACCCAGTTAAATGTTTGTTTTGAAGGATACGTTCAATGATGACGTTGTGCTGCTGATATATGCGGTAAGATAATTCCTAGACGTATTTTGGCCACGGGTTACGATAGGCTAATAAGTCCGACTTGATGACTGCCCCAATCAAATGTCATCTAAAGTCTGGCTATCCTACATTAAACGTATGAAGTTGTTCCCAGTGACAAGGCCTCAAATAACGAAACCAGTTTATGTAAGCAACACTTCATTAACAGCTCGATTAAAATATTTGGTGTAAGTGACACATGAAATAATGCCATAAATAAAGTCCAGTATGTTATGAGTAACTGAGGAAGAAATCTGCCCAAACCATGCATCAGTACTATGCCCCTTTGACTTTAAGGCATGTCCTTTCCTCTTACATTATGAATTCCAAAGCTCCATACTGATCCGTATACATATTGCTGGATTCATGCAATTCCAGTTTGCTATTCCCCCGAAAAAAACATTTGACATGCTGACGAAGCCAGAAAGACACTTCATCATAAAGCAAAGTTCAGTTGGTTTGGTAATGTTCAAGGAGACGCATATTCGGATATGAATACCGTCATATTTATAGGGGAAAAAATATAATAAAATAATTATTATCTTTTTGTCTTCCGGTTCGGGAGACTGTGACAGGACTTTCCTGAAGAAAATAAAATGTTCAAGGAAATAATCCTTAAATTTCCCTGGTTCGAAAATATAAATTGAAAAGACAACAAACAGATTACCTGTTCGAACCTATCTGATTACTTTGTTACCTTATTGAGCTCCCGAATCAAACAGTCCTTCTGGAACTGGGCTTTGTAGTTCTTGATGTGGAGAGGGTCAATAGCTACGATTTGAGTCTGACGATGTCCGTCCTCGTCTCTGAAAACAAATGTATTATCCCCTCACCGAACATGAATCGACCACTCCCTTGCCAAAGAATGCTTCTCAAATTCATCACCAATGTCAACTGTAATGACTTAATCAAAAGTCCACCATCACGGCCCCATCAAAACACACCAGTACTATAACTAGTATACATTATAAGTTGACTACCGATCTCGAAGGGTATATAGTGTGATGTTCCCTGTGTGTGAGCTTATGTACACCGAACTGGCGCCCACCCAGAGTACATCACACCATATGCCTCGAGGGATCGGCTGACAACGAATTCATCTCACCGACTTTCATACGGGTCCAGAATATATGTCCGCAATTTCACTACTCGTAGCAGACGACGCAAAGAACCGAGTTACTTCCCTTTACCCAATGAATTCGAATGAACATCGGTTCATTTCAACTCAACGATACCTGAGGGGGCTACATGATCGGGCTTCACGGGAACTACTTTCCCGGTCCTTTACCAATCAGAAGCTGGTATCTTAATGTAAAGTGAGAAAATATCATTACGTCTCCAACCAAATATACACGATTCCCATAACGTATATGCTCAAGGAAGTTGTTTTATCAGGTTAAAAAATTCAAGGCCTCAGTAAAGCTTTCAAAAAGTCATGGTAGACATGTGGAGGACATTTCCCAATTTTGCGCATCAGTGACAAACATGATGTCCGATGCAATTCCTTGTACCTTATGCTCCCGTGTATTTTGTTCAGGTGAACAATTTACAATTTACATGTTTGTGACGGGTGCCACCGGTGATGGCCTTTTTGCGAACACCTAGTAGCATTACTATTTGAAAGTGATTCGTAAACACATGCTCATGATATACTCGTAACAGTTCACTCGACTCTGATTTTGGCAGAGGCTTCCTAAGACGTTTTATCGCTTTTATTCACATCATCATCCATCCATGTGCTGTCAGTAGGATCCACAATTCGCTGTGTCCCTCTAGTGAGCCAGAAACCTAATGTCTCCACTTTTGTCAGTACCATGTATACCATGTATACCCGTGTACGTGTTAAATGTCAAAGACCCGCATCACTTAAAAGCGGCGTTAAAAACATTCACTCACTCATCATCCCGCTAGATCTACATCAATACTGATACTGTGCCAGATACACATCAAAACGACCACCACGTCCATTACCGCCATTATCTTCTTCATCATCATCATCATCATCATCATCATCATCATCATCATCATCATTCCACAAACCAGCAGCTATTGCTAGTCATCTGCTCAATGGACTAATTACCTTGTCGTCATGTCTTGTCGATCTCCAAGCCACGTGAATGTGTCCCCCAAACCAGCGCACATACTGAATACCTCGCAGCCTGCAACGTCGAGACAAAATATTCACACAATATTGTTCAGTGGTAAATCCATTGTTATTAAAGGTTCTTTAACCTGGTTTCTTCTTTACCAAATTTATACCAGGAGGTACGAGTGGCGCAGTCGTCTAAGTCATCACAATTCGCTGTGCAGTGTTGCGTCCCTTGGGAACGCCAGAAACCAATGATAATGGGTTCGAATCCCGGTTCGCTCCGATCATGTTTCCAGGTTTGACAGCACCCGTACTCTAGGGTTTCATCAAATTGGTAACGACCTGCATCACCTCGCCCTTTCCTCCCACATTAAGTTGACAGGTCGTGACATAACTGGAATACTGTACAAAGCAGCGTTAAATCCAACTCACTCACTCATATATGTCAAACAATCCAGAAAACCAACGATGAAATGAACTGTCATAAGGCAAATCTGGGCTGTTATTGGCCTTTCAAGATAAAGTTCTCACCAATCGCCATTCAGTCGACCTGTGAAGATTCCGGGGTAGAATAGGTCTTCAGCAACCCATGCTTGCTGTAAAAGGTGACTATGCTTGTCGTTAAAGGCGACTAACGAGATCGGGTGGTCAGGCTCGCTGACTTGGTTGATGCATGTCATCGATCCCAATTGGTGGATCGATGCTCATGATATCAATCACTGGATTGTCTGGTCCAGACTCCAATATTTACAGACAGCCGTCATATAGCTGGAATATTGCTGAGTGCGGCGTTAAACAACAAACCAACCAACCATATCCGGTCAAGGCCTTAACGTTGTCATCAGTGACATTTGTAAGACATAATATCTGTATAATTAACTGTCAGATGTATTACATTAAAAAATACAAACAAATGCTAGCAGTCAACAAGGTGGTGTTGGAACGATTTATATAACATTTGGTAGTACTGTCACAGTGCATCTTCAATGACAGGTACCAGGGAACTTAATATTCTTAGAACACAAAGCAAAGTTAATACAATGAAAATATTATCCCATTAGTGAGGTCATGCTATATTTATCTGAAGTCGATATTGCACTCGTGTGAAACAACACTGGATGTTGGAACTTCTTTCAATCCTCCTCATTGACACTGGAAGTTATCATGAAAAACAGCAAGAACATACGTGGTAGATAAACCTCACCCCGGAGCAGTGATGACTTTAGAATTATACCATTGTCATACGCTGATATGCACATGGCGTGACACAGGATAAAAACGCAAACATGTTCATCTTATCTCAATATCTACAATACATTTTCGCTGTGAATCTGATGAAAATATATGCTTTGTCAGTTCATTCGATGAGATTAAGATAGGGGCATTAAAATACGAAACAAACTTATGAATAGCCACGTTAAAATAGGTTTTCAGCAACCCATGCTTACCGTAACAGGCGACTTTACTTGTTCTAAGAGGCGACTAGCGACTAGTGGGATCTGATAGTCAGGATCGCTGACTTGATTGATGCATGTCATAGTATTCCAATTGCGTGGATCGATGCTCTTGGTGTTAATCACGGGATTGTTTGGTCCAGATTCGATCATTTTTGGCCGCCGTCATACGGCTTGAATTTTGCCGATGGCGACGTTAAACAACAAAGAAAGAAAGAAACATTCGATGGGATAAACACTCAGAGAAAATAAAAGAATGCTACAACAAATATATCTGACCTGTCATAAAGAGACACTCGTCCTCCCCCAGGGATTCAGTGAAGAGACGGGCAATGATCATCTCGGGGCACATGAAGAGTCGAGCCTGTTGCTGGCCCACAAAGGATTCATATAACGAACCCCCGATGTGGTTATTGGCAAACAGAACCTGTAACATAGAGGATGGACACATTACATTTACAACACCCATGGCAATAGAACATGTAACATAGAGGATGCACACATTACGTTGGCAACATCCATGGCAACGGAACATGTAACATAGAGGATGGACACATTACGTTGACAACATCCATGGCAACAGAACATGTTACAAAGAGGATGAACAGTTGACGTTGACAACATCCATGGCAACAGAACATGTTACATAGAGGATGAACAGTTGACGTTGACAACATCCATGGCAACAGAACATGTAACATAGAGGATGGACACATTACGTTGACAACATTCATGGCAACAGCACATGTAACATAGAGGATGAACAGTTGACGTTGACGACATCCATATTAACATAACCTGAACATAGAGGATGGACATTATCATTGACAACATCCATGGCAACGATCTCTTTGATATAGAGGATGGACAGCATGTATTGGAAACAGAACTTGCATCACAGAGATATTGTAGTTAAAGTAGAGTAATTACATATGCACCTGAGTGCTTTGACTTTCAGGGGAAAGCTATACTATAAATATTTAGTATAATATGTAGTAAGCTTACCGCAACTAACCCAAACGAATGATATTTACTTTATACTTAATGTCCAATAATTATTACAAAACAATGATAAGTATATGGTTTAACATTCCAAAAACACACAGTGAAATCCTACTACCCGTTTCTTTGCGGTGTTAAGTTGGTTTGACTTGTTGTCAGGATCGATGCAAAGTATTTTCAGATGCGTAAAGACGTAAACACATTGTATAGTGATTATCTTCAATTGATGTGCTAACTTAAATGTGGTAGTTGGAACTCACATTGGATAAGATAACTGACATGCGACTGGCAACTGAAGCTCACAGAGGCCCATAATATAGCATTTAGTCCTGTATGTAAAGTGATCGATATGGATATGTATGTATGTAATAGAACATTATAATAGAACATTATGGAAAGTTTGAGCGATCTGCGTGGAGCGAATTTGCATATGTGTGTTCTACTATGTAAAAGTTTAATAGCCAATATACTTTCATTATATTTAAATGAAAATGACATAATTGTAACCGGCCTAACTACAGCTTTATTTTGATATATTACACATTGGACAATTGTAAAGACATTTATTATCCTTTTTGTTGCACCAAAATGACGCTCGACGCGGAATGCAAAATCGCGATTTTGAGGGTACCTCCCCAAATATGATGAAAACAGGAAGTGAATCCCTATATTTTCAATGTTAACATATGATTTCATGTTCAGGACACACTGAGGCTTCAGAAAAAGTAGGTGTTGTTGGGAGGTGGGGGGATGCACGGTGGACCTAAGTAGCCCATGGCTTAATAGATGGGATGTGCATTTCTTCATTTTGTTCACTAGGATGGATCGTAGCGAGGATATTCGTGAACAATCATGCAGTTAAACTCTCTGACGTTACTCAATGTATACTGAAACGCTGAGTTTAAGATTAAAGTTTTGATTGATAAGAAACAACGCTTCTGTATGTATTCGTGCTTGGGAAGTAGTCCGTCAGTGTTTACGTCATTTGAAGAACACGGTCTCGTGAAAAACGTATGAACGTCAAATTGTGTCGTTCGTGCATTTCAGAACGTAATTTCGCGGTCATGTAATGGAATAGCCGTATATCGTGTAAAGTTCAAACTACAAAATTATTCTATAGTTTACCTGAAGCATTCCTTGCCCGCTGTCCTCTATAGTGCCGTCTGATGACGAGGTCAGTTTAGACAGTCCTGTCTGTAGCTCCTCCCACTTCGGGAACCTGTCAATCACTTGACGTCGATATGTCACTTTGCCCTGAGGCACTGAAATGATACCAATAATATTCACAGGGCGTCATGGGGGTAGCCTAGGGGTTAAAGCGTGACACCAAAGGCCCAGGTTCGATTCCCTACTGGTACGATGGGTACAATGTGTGAATCCCAGTTCGAATGTCACTCACTCACTCACTCACTCACTCACTCACTCACTCACTCACTCACTCACTCACTCACTCTATCACACACGCACGCACTCACTCACTCACTCAGTATTATAAATCACAACGACATGGGGCCAGGTTTAGTTTCAGTTCCATTTTGAAAAAAAATACCCCGAAAAATGCGCACATACACGTGAAGAATCCTGCATTGTTAAACATGTAGTTGGCTATTTTCTCCGTGGCAAGGTGCTCTGTTGTGACTTTGCATTTACTTCAAGAATCCATAGTTACAACTTGTTTATTAATTCAATGAATGTAAATAGGATAAAATATACTTTGCTGTGTGACTCGCATGAAGTAGTGCAGGATGCATCTAATTTTCTCATCGCTCCGTTTGCTTTGATCTTGGAACAGTCTAAAAAGAAAAAACGCAGTTAGTTCATATACATAAAAGCGACAAAATTATAAGAAGTATCTACTAAAAGTCCATTGTACGATTCCCACCATATCATAAGCATTTTTTTAAATCTTCACAATGACATAATAAAAACATATAATCCATGAAGCTTCTAAAATACCACTAAAAAAATTATAAATATTTCACGTCCATGTACCTGCTACTACTGGAAGTATAAGTCATTCCACCTACCCGTTGAAGTTAATGTCTGGGTAATTGCAAAATTCCTTCTGTGGTTCTTGGGAGTTCCTCCGTGGAAATGTACAGAAGAAGGCATTAGCCAATAGACAGGCAACTTGATGCTGAGTCAAGGTGATGCTCTTCTTACTCCCTTGTTTTAACAAGGGTATTGGCTGGAATTAAAGCAAAACATTCCGTTATCATGAGACATATCCACCAAAAGCGGAGTCCTTTGTACTGTTCAGACCATATCAAAAGCATGTGTTAATAAAGCACTATCAAATAGCGTATCAAGCTCCACCGGTGCAAAGGCAAGTACATTTTTCACTTGTACAAAAACCCACAGAAACATGATGGTTCAAGTCAAAATTGCATTTGACATTATTGTTTTCACTACTGCCACAGCAATTACTATATGACCTACCGTTTCAGAATGATAAATATTATACAGTCACGTTTCACAACGTCTGTGTACCGAAATCTATGTGAATAATTATATTAAACTATATGTGAACGACAAAAAATTACTGTGCTTCAAATAAAGTTCAATAACAACAAAAATATTTTGAAATTTAATAATACGTCTTATAATACATATTCATGAAGACATCTCTTCGACCATGCATGTGTGCGTTTATCCAATACGCACAATTGGGAGGTTTGTGTGTTCGTTGGGAGCATAATACTCACACACGTGTTTTTGCAATATGAACAGCATATAATAATGGTTAGCTATCAGGTGCTCATGAAAAAAACTTTTGTGTCATTGTATATTGTTAATTGGGTTGTTACACAACTCCCCTTTTAGGGCGTTTCGTTATATGTCCTGTGACAAGGGATGGGTTTTGTCAATACATTTTTGTTACGATAACCCTTTATCAGATGGATGTCCAAATAATATTTTGTTATTTTCAATAGCATAACATTTATAACACTTTAATTATTCACAGTTAAGTGTTTACCGTAAGTATATTATATCCAAAGGATGATGGCGTTTCTCATTGACTAAGAAGACTGAGTGAGTGAGTATGGTTATACGCCGCTTTTAGCAATATTCCCGCAATATCAATGGGCTTCACATATTGGACTAAGAAAATGTTGTTTCTGCTGGTGAGTACATTCATAGAACCACAATACCCTTTACTACGAAAAGCCTTGAAGGAGTGACTTGGTCATTGATTATCACAAAGGTTTGAAGACGGCCATTGTAATAATATTCATTTCGTATGAGAGGGGTTACTAATGTGCTTTTTATCAATACACCGGGCAATGGCCATGCACAAAACACTTCTACTAAGATTTCCGATGGAGTCATTAATAAAAGCAATGCTTTATTTGTGTACCTCGTGGAAGAGAGTAGGAAGCGCCAACGCTAGATCTCTAATGTTCGGCAATGTCGTGGTCAGAAATTCTTCAAGATCTTTTTCAGTATTACACTGAAATGTAAAAATGACAAAGACCTATTGACAATGTCACATAAGAAAACAACAACTTCATTTACACATTTTGACACAGTGTGTTTGAATGGAGAGGTGCATTTTATTATCACATGTTAACCTTCAAGTAAAATGTTATAGTCGTGCTTTTTAAAACATAACATATCACCTATATTCACACAGTGACTTCGTATACACGAATCCCGTGTGAAATCCGGGTTACAATTTAAGCCTTGCACCCTATGTTGGTCTAAGACGCGACTTAATGAATCGGGTGGTCAGGCTCGGTGACTTGGATGGTGACGTGGATCATTGCTCATAATATCAATCACTGGGTTGTCTTCTCCAGACTCGATTAGTTACAGTGCGGCGTTAAACAACAAAAACATAGTATACATTATCACCAATAAATATTCTAGATGTACAAATAATCAGTATGCAGCAACAAAATTAATAATATTTTCGGAAAAAAACTCTGGCCCCCATCATACAATCAAACGGTCGGTCTCTTTGGCTCTTTATATTGTCATAAAGCAAGTAAGTAAGTACGTTTGTTACTTACATCTGTCAAATAGTGTCTGAGTGACGTAAACCTCGATCTCACAGCATTTGCCTTGTTGATGATGTTGATGGCTTTCTGAAGTAAACACAAATTCAGATGTGGGTGAGTAAGGAAACGAGGCTCCGATGTTTGAAAAGATCGTACAATGATGATACATGCGCTACATATATGGTGTATTATCATACTGTAATTCAGATACTGTATTACATGCACTACATATTATACAATCATACTGGAGTACATAATGACATACTATCAAGCGTACTTATATACCGTAAAACATGTGCATCAAATAATGATCTTCTATTATATGTTGTAATAAATGCACTACATATAATGACATACTATATGCACTGCTATGCATGACGTACAATTTACCATAGTGTACACAATTTCATGTTCATGAGGATTGGGTGGGTGGCCGGGATTTTTCTTTGAGACAGGACATTCTTCAATCAATGCTTCAAATATTTATTTCTGGGAACGTTTTAGTTTCAGGACCAAGGAACAATTTATTTTTGGAGTTGACCATTTTTGCTTCATTCATTTTCTTCTTGAATACATTATTCTTTAAACTTAAAAAAAATCACGCGAATATCCCTGAACATCAAATGGTTGGCCCTTAAATGCGAAGCAACAAAATAACCTCTGAAAATGGCCAAGAATGACTTATGATTGCCTGTATGTAATTTGTTTACAGATACCTGTTCATTGTATTTCATTGCTTTGCAATATAAACGTATATCTTTTACCAATAGTTTGCCTCGGATTTTGGAATCTTTCTTTTTTTATTGTCATGAACCTTAAAGGTGAGGTGAAATTTGGTTAAATGTCGCGTCCAAGATTATTGCACTTATATAGCGACGTGCATGCACGTGTATGTGTGTGTGTGGCTGCTTGGACTAGTCCGGACTGATGCCGATTTATAGTGCTAGCTCACTGAGATACCATGCCGCAGTTTAACATGAATACCCCACTCAGACACAGTATACTGACTCCGAGCCGACCAGTCCTTGTTTTAGCCCCTTAATGCCGAGCGCCAGACAGGGTAACAACAAGTACAATCTTTTAACGTCTTTTTGTATGACGCGGCCCGGGATCGAACCCTGGACCTTCCGCATGAACCTTAAAATGAATCTATAAATATGAAGAATAACGCGATAGTCTGGATGGTAAGACACATACGTGGTAGTAGATGCATGTAAATATAAAACGACAACGAAAGAGAATAGCCAGTCTCGCCTATCCGACGAAACGGATTACATTGGGCGTAAAAGGCAAAACAGCTGTGAAATTTATGTGGATGTATCGCTCATAATCAGTGATGACACCAGGTGTTCGCTAAAAGGGTAAGCATGTCCTGCCTTACAGGTAACACCCACCAATCACACAATTTGCGTTAAAATGTATGTTTTATTTGCCTGACACCACACAGAAGTATCCCTGCTATGCCACGTCATACGAGAATAATGTACAACTGATCATGACAACGATTAACACCTTTCCAGTCAACACAGGCACGAGAAATAGGACAAGGTTCACACGTGCACATACTCTATACCAGTATACTCGTATACAAGTATCTAAACTGGACATACCTCAAGATCATCTATGTCTGCGAAGGACTTGTTTAATGTTTCGTGTATCAAATCCCATCGTCTGCTGAATGATGACGAACCTCCCTAAAAGCGACAGCAAGGTATGATTAGTTACTGATGCAGGCGGATCAGATTTGGTATAAGGACATCTTGAAGGCAGGTCAGACTTAGGATGTAGGACTTGGCATGAAGTGAAGGCAGATGAAACGTCCATCTCAAGTGAGTGAAACAACTTTACAATGAATGTTTGATGAAGTGTGGGGCATTTTGCGCACGTTTGGTACTTTACAATGCTCAAATGATAGTCTTGTTACCAAGTTGACTGCAATTGAAGATACATTGAAACACAACTGAACGATATACCTAGCTATAGAAGAGAAATACTAAACTGAGAGGTTTAGTGTATGGTTTGGAGGATTGAATATTCGAAAATCAGAGCAATCGCTCTGGTCTAATATTTCAAGGTTTCCTCATGCCAAACCCGGTGATTCATGGGCCGACTGTGAACAAATTGTGAATAACATTGTCACTGAGGCTCTGAAGCTCACTAATGTTAGCATACAGAGAGCACATCGCATCATGAAGGGTAAGGCAATTATCGATAAGGTCAACGACGAACACTGCATATTGGAGGCGTCTAAAACTCTAAAGAATTCAGATTCTGGCATGTTCATCACAGAGGATTTGTCACCAACCTTTAGACAAAAATATGAGCAACGTTTCGCGTTCATGGTCAAGCCAGAGAGGTGTATCTAAGTAAGTAAGTAAGTGAGTTGGGGTTAACGCCGCTTTTAACAGTATTCCAGTTATATCACGGCGTATCAGCTTAATGTGGGAGGAAAGCCCGAAGTGATGCAGGTCTAGGACGCTTACCACTTCGGTGAAACCCACGAGCATGGGTAGGTGCTGACAAACCTAGAAACATAATCTGGGCGAACCGGGATTCGAACCCACAATTATAGGTTTCTAGCGTGCCCAAGGGACGCAACTCTGCACAGCGAATCGCGGCGCCTTAGACGGCTGGGCCACCCGTGCCCCCGAGGTGGATCTAAAAGCACTACTACGTTTTGACAAGTTGAATGTTGAGGACAACGTTTATTCTATGATATGTCGTCAGACTGTATCACAATGTTAAAACGAGGGCTCAAGGCTAGGATCTAATGTGAGGTCCGCGCCCGACTAGCTGCTAGGGGAGTGGTCCGGTCCAATGGTTACCGACAGAGGGTGACTCAAGATCGGGCTTAACATTTATCGTAGGGAACGTAAACGGACTTAAACATAAACTGGATGATATGAATTTCATAAGACTTTGTTTCAGGTTTTCATGTTAAAGGATTGGTGGAAATGTGGAACATGTCACACGGAGACTGTAACGTCCTCACTGATGCATTATACGGAGTTTATAAATCAAAGGGATGTTAATAACAGATGACAGATAACATAATGACTTGGGGTATAGTGAGGGCAGTTGTAACTTGGGATATAGTGAAGGCAGATGGGACTTGGGAAGTAGTGAAGTTAGAATTGACTTGGGATATAGTGAAGGCATATATACCTCTGAAGTAGTGAAGGCAGATGAGATTTGGAATATAGTGAAGGCAGATAAGTGTTTGGATGTAGTAAAGGCAGATGGGACTTGGGATGTAGTGAAAGCAGATATACTTCGGAAGAAGTGAAGGCAGACTTGACTTGGGATATAGTGAAGGCAGATATACTTCGGAAGTAGTGACAGCAGACGTGACTAAGGATATAGTGTAGGCAGATATACTTCGGAAGTAGTGACAGCAGACGTGACTAAGGATATAGTGAAGGCAGATATACTTCGGAAGTAGTGACAGCAGACGTGACTAAGGATATAGTGAAGTCAGAAATACTTCGGAAGTAGTGACTGCAGACGTGACTAAGGATATAGTGAAGGCAGATATACTTCGGAAGTAGTGACAGCAGACGTGACTAAGGATATAGTGAAGGCAGATATACTTCGGAAGTAGTGACAGAAGACGTGACTAAGGATATAGTGAAGGCAGATATACTTCGGAAGTAGTGACAGCAGACGTGACTAAGGATATAGTGAAGGCAGATATACTTCGGAAGTAGTGACAGCAGACGTGACTGAGGATATAGTGAAGGCAGATATGCTTCGGAAGAAGTGAAAGTCTTTGGATGTAGTGAAGGTAGATACGTTTTTGGATGTAGAGAAGGCAGATGGGACTTGGGATGTAGTGAAGGTAGATGAGACTTGGTATGTTGAGAAAGCAGATGACACTTGGGATGTAGAGAAGGTAGATGAGACGTGGGATGTAGAGAAAGCAGATGAGACTTGGGATGTTGAGAAGGCAGATGAGACTTGGTATGTAGAGAAAGCAGATGAGACTTGGGATGTTGAGAAGGCAGATGAGACTTGGGATGTAGAGAAGGCAAATGGGACTTTGGAAGTAGTGAAGGTAGATGAGACTTGGGATGTAGTGAAAGCAGATATACTCCGGAAGTAGTGAAGGTAGATAAGTCTTTGGATGTAGAGAAGGCAGAAGGGACTTGGGAAGTAGTGAAGGCGGATAAGACTTGGCATGTAGTGAAGGTAGATGAGACTTTGGATGTAGAGAAGGCAGATGGGACTTGAGATGAAGCGAAGGCAGATGAGACATGCGATGTAGTGAAGGTAGATGAGACTTGGGTTGTAGTGAAGGCAGATGAGACTTGGGTTGTAGTGAAGGCAGATGAGACTTGGGTTGTAGTGAAGGCAGATGAGACTTGGGTTGTAGCGAAGGCAGATGAGACATGCGATGTAGTGAAGGCAGATGAGACTTGCGATGTAGTGAAGGCAGACGAGACTTGGGTTGTAGTGAAGGCAGATGAGACTTGGGTTGTAGTGAAGGCAGATGAGACTTGGGTTGTAGCGAAGGCAGATGAGACTTGGGTTGTAGCGAAGGCAGATGAGACATGCGATGTAGTGAAGGTAGATGAGACTTGGGTTGTAGTGAAGGCAGATGAGACTTGGGATGTAGTGAAGGCAGATGAGACTTTGGATGTAGTGTAGGCAGATGAGACTTTGGATGTAGTGAAGGTAGATGAGACTTTGGATGTAGAGTAGGTAGATGAGACTTGGGTTGTAGTGAAGGCAGATGAGACTTGGGATGTAGTGTAGGCAGATGAGACTTTGGATGTAGTGAAGGCAGATTAGACTTGGGTTGTAGTGAAGGCAGATGAGACTTTGGATGTAGTGAAGGCAGATGAGACTTTGGATGTAGTGAAGGTAGATGAGACTTGGGTTGTAGTGAAGGCAGATGGGACTTGGGATGTAGTGAAGGCAGGTGAGACTTGGGATGTAGCGAAGGCAGATGAGACATGCGATGTAGTGAAGGTAGATGAGACTTGGGATGTAGTGTAGGTAGATGAGACTTGGGATGTAGTGAAGGCAGATGAGACTTTGGATGTAGTGTAGGCAGATGAGACTTTGGATGTAGTGAAGGTAGATGAGACTTTGGATGTAGAGTAGGTAGATGAGACTTGGGTTGTAGTGAAGGCAGATGAGACTTGGGATGTAGTGTAGGCAGATGAGACTTTGGATGTAGTGAAGGCAGATTAGACTTGGGTTGTAGTGAAGGCAGATGAGACTTTGGATGTAGTGAAGGCAGATGAGACTTTGGATGTAGTGAAGGTAGATGAGACTTGGGTTGTAGTGAAGGCAGATGGGACTTGGGATGTAGTGAAGGCAGGTGAGACTTGGGATGTAGCGAAGGCAGATGAGACATGCGATGTAGTGAAGGTAGATGAGACTTGGGATGTAGTGTAGGTAGATGAGACTTGGGATGTAGTGAAGACAGATGAGACTTTGGATGTAGTGAAGGCAGATGGGACTTTGGAAGTAGTGTAGGCAGATGAGACTTGGGATGTAGTGAAGGCAGATGGGACTTGGGAAGTTGTGTAGGCAGATGAGACTTTGGATGTTGTGAAGACAGATGAGACTTGGGATGTAGTGAAGACAGATGAGATTTGGGATGTAGTGAAGACAGATGAGACTTGGGATGTAGTGACGGCAGATGAGACTTGGTGTATAGTGAAGGGAGATATACTTCGGAAGTAGTAAAGGCAGATGAGACTTGGGATGTGGTGAAGGCAGACGGGAATTTGGGTATACTGAAGGCAGATATACCACCGAAGTAGTGAAGACAGATACGACTTGGGACATCGTGAGGGCAGATAGGGCTTCGGAAGTAGGATTTGGGATATCGTTAAGGCAGATATTACTGTGGATATAGTGAAGGTAGACACGACTTGAGACATAGTAAGGGCAGATCTGACTTCGGAAGTACGAATAGTGAATGCAGATAGGAAGGAGAAATAGTAACAGCAAACTGTACTTTGGATAGGGTGATTGCAGAACGGACTTGGACTATAGTGAAAGCAGAAAGGGTTTGGGTAAAAGAAGTAGGACATTGGAGGAAGTTCATTTCAGTATAAAGGCCACAGGCCCAAGTACAATATAGATACATGTATCATATACAAAGTGGTAGTAAAATATAAAGAGGTGGAGGGTGCAATTAAAGTACAATTTAGAATTATAATATTGAAGAACATAAGGAAAGGGCATCTTTAATGCATTTAGCACATAATTACAAGGTTTCAATGTTGGAAGTTTGTAGTAAAGTTCTGAGGGAGTACTTATTTTTAAGTTGGACATACTAACAAAAAATGTAACTCATCTACTATTATAATTTTACAAAAAGGAAAAATCGCTTTGGTCTCTTTGGTGTTTATGAAGCAGATATGGTTCAATTGCGAAAGTTGACTTTATAATGGAGTAATAATCTAAATTTGAATGCTCATTTAACTTTGAAAAAATAGATTGAACACAGCAGTCTTTTACTCTTTGTCGAAATTCTAAAAGAAATAAATCAATATTACCGACACTTTGATTATTCCATACATAATTAAAACCATATGAATAAAGTAATTTCTCAACATTAGAGGCCCATGTAAGGCTGCCTTGCTCGTCCAATCGTCATAACATTGCTTTGAATATCTAGTATCCGGCATACATACAAGTTTGCACCAATATTTAATGTATTTAGTGAATGAATCGCAATATATATTACACCGGCCATACTCAGTTAACACAGCTGCAGTAGTAGAAGATTTGCAAACACCTAGAACATATTTAAAACATTTGATATGAAACTGTTCAAATGACTCGTATGGGAACAACAGAATAAGTTTTATTTGAGAATCAAACATTTTAAAGAGAACGGTGAGAGCAAGATTTTTTATTTTCGCCTGCAACTGTTTTATAGGAAAAAGTGCTTTACTACCTTTATTAATAATTGTTAGTACTGATTTTAACCATGGCAGCCTGTTTAAAAATATGATACTAAGGTAACTATAGTAGGTTGAGGTTTTCAGTGCAATATCATTGTACAAAATTTTCATAATATGTGTATTTTCTTTTGCAAACCAATAACACTGTCAGAAAACAGACACAAATCATTTGCATGAAGTAATAAAAGCTAATCTAAAAAGCCTGCACCACAAAAATACCTCTCCCGCCACGCTGCTGTAATTCATCTTCAAGTTGGTTTATAAACCCAAATACTAAATAGAAGTGGGCTAAGAATACAGTTTTGACGAACACCGCTTAAACAATCAAAATATTCGGAAAGGCTAACAGTTGATGTTTTAACAGCTGCTGTTGTCTAAGAATACATATCACGAATTATATTCAGCACTTTGCCTTTAATATCTTGTTGAACTAACACATACCATAAAAGATCTATATTGATAGAATCAATATCTTTATTGAAGTCTACGAATAAACAATAAAATCTACCCCTGGATTTGGTTAAATATATTTTATATATAGTGCATATCATTCAGATTCTGAATGTAAACGTCACTATCATCATCATCATCATAAAGTATATAATCCGTTAATGATTCTAGCATTGAAATCGCCTGCTAGTATAATGTCACCATCACAGAACAGCGTCAGTAGTTTAAGAAGACACGACTCGACATAGTCAAAATCCTTAATATCACGCGTGTCAGACTGAAGATAATAAAGGGTGGACACATACAAGCCCCTGCAATATTTCTTTTTCAAATCCGAAAAGAGAACATAGATGCTATCACTGAAGGATAAATTTATACATTTCACTCCTGTTTAAACACATTTCTAATCAACAGTGCAACTCCACCTCTATTGGGACATTGTGATTATGAAGGCAGATCAGAGGTAAAGTAACCTACATATTATGGTAAGACAACACTAGCGAAATTAGGAAGACACGTTAATTAAAGGTAATCCGTATTATCCCAATGTACCTTTCCATATTTGATCACCAAAATGCATAATATTTAGGAAGTTACATGTACCTAGATCTACTCCTACACAATGTATTCACCTTGTCGTCGTCAAAATATTCATTGCGTGGAGAGCACGGCATCTTCACGTGGTAATTGTCCCATTTGTCTTGATTGACAGCCACCGGAGGTGGTGGTGATACCTGAAAATACAACACACCCAACACGACTACAAGGAGTTGCCAATGACGTCACTATACTTACAAAAATATTCGTAAACTTTCATTATTCATTTTCCATACGTACTTCAAAAGTTTAATCGAAAAATATTTACCGCCGAAGAAGCAACCGCGTCTACTGCACAGGGTTGAACATGGCTTCCTTTCTGTTTCCGCTTCCGGTAATGCGCCAAGGAATCTTTGGATATGATAATTTTCCCCAATGGAGAAATAACCAGGAATAAACCTTCAATCAACTTTTGTATATTTGACACTGACTGGTCTGTCCCCCATTTGGTCACGAAAACCGTTTCCTTCATGATAGAGAGGGGCTGAAAGTGATAAATGTTGCTTTGTCAAATATATACCGCTATGGTCTAACATTAGCCACCACAAAGGTCTAATATAAGCCACCACAACGGTCTATTAACTATAACTGGAATGTCGTAGTTCTGTTTTACATTTATTTTCAACTCTGAGATAACAGTTTTGTGTCTGGCTTGGAAGTGAGTTTGCAAATTCTCATCAATGTATCGGTTTGTTGTGTGCCTTAGTCACATGCTATTTCCTTGTTGTAAAATAATATTTAACAACAACACATGTTTATAATTATTTATAGAGATACTTCTTTGGGTTTTTTGATGAAGTCGCTGAAAGGACTGGAGCTAAGGAGCTCGGATGTACTTGGCCTCTTCTCCTGACTTTTGTCAACCATTTTTGAACCCGCAATTCTCAGATTCTTGCTGTACAACTTGTCGATGGGAGGAATCTGCAAGATTGAACAATTTGGTTCAGTGTTACAGACAATTATATTACCATATTGCCACCATTAAGATAATGGCTATATATCTTTTTACAAAAAATACAAAACCGATCCCCGAATCGTACGATAAACGATACCGACCTCAGACATTATCTCTAATTCAAATATATAAAAAGACTCCCTGGTTATATTATTCATGGCTAACTTTATTATTTTATTTTCATATGCATTAAACAACGCACAGTTTATCCTCGACCTGAGCAACGTTCTTTTTATTTTACCATAATAAAATGTGCGTAACATAATCAAACAAAAATCCCAGATATGTTTATTGGGAATCTGCATTGGGAACAAGCCAGTGACGAGGAATACAACATACCACGAATTCTCATAATACTTGATTACTTTGGATTAAAACAACACCTGCTTCCTTTCAAGTGTTCTCCAAATTGAACCATTCATTGTTATTAGCATAGTATATCCATGCAAGTAATGTTAACAAATGAACTCACGCCAACTGTCAACACCTTGAAGACGAGGAGATGAGGAGATACCTCATCAATCGCTCTCCTCCCGGACGTGATTTCAAACAGAACACAGCCCAAGCTCCATATGTCGGCCTGAAACAACATCGTGGAAACACGGATATAAGTCGCCTTACTATTGTCAGGAATTCTGTTTTCATCAGCTCGAAATCACAGACTACTATAGAATATATCCTTTGCGAATTTCTGTTTAAGGTTCTTCGCCAAGGTAACCCTAATTCGTCGCAGCTCGTAAGGTATTCTCCAAATACATGGCACCGTGACAGTACTGAATGAGTCAATGATTTCAATATTCCTGTACATACTTGAGTCGCGGAAAGGTAAGCTGGTACAGGCAAATTTATTATTGATACAGATGGCCCTGTGATCTTTAGAAGGCAATCCACTATGCAAAGATGCTTCTTTTGACCAGGCTAGGATTTGCTGGTTATGTTTTGTGGTCGGTCAGTTCATCAAAGTGCTAAACATGTAAAATCTGAGTCATTGTCCGCCTATCATCTAAGCTGACAAGCCATGATATAACCTCAATACGATTCAAGGCAGTGACAAATTACCTCACCCCCACGTGTTAGATCCAGATCTTCAGCAACCCATGCTTCTCGTAAGAGACAATTAATGGGACCATCGTATCCCATTTGCGTTGGTCGATGCTCATGATGCTTATCACTGTAATGTCTGGTCCAGACTGCCGTCAAATAGCTAGAAGATTGCTGAGCGCGGCGTTAAATAACAAACAAGCAATGTGGTGAAGAGTATGACATGTACAATCACCTTTTGATTATAGCCTTCCTGCAGCAAGATCTCGGGGCTCATGTAACATGGAGTTCCTATCAAAGTGGAGGCCATGTCCGCTGGCTGAGCCAACACCCTGGAATCAACGCATGCCTGTGAGGGGGCAGTTCATAAGCACGGAATCGAATAAAATATTTATTTCTAAATGGTCGAGGCACACACACTGAAACTTTATCGTAACCAAGTTGATATCATCAAAGAGGTTTTTAGAAAGAAACACACATAAATCATAGTAGGAATATGCTGAAGAAAATTTATCAAAACAGCACTTCAGACATTGAAGTAAACATATGATGAATTGGGCTCTTATTTATTGAACTATGAAAACATGAAAGTTGTTTGCAGACCAGGACACCCTAATCATTTGCGAGAACACCTGGTGTCATCACTGATTTTCAGTGATCCATTCATATGATAATCACAACTATTTTGCCTTTTACGCCCAATGGAATCTGTGTCGGCGTTGCCGTTATATATATAGCAACCATACAACATGTTTTATCGAATAGAATACTTGCTGACCTGTTGACCTCCTACCACGAAACTGCTTCAATTCAAATTTGTATCCTTTTAGCCTACTTCGTTTATCATTTTATTGACTTAAATAATTTTAAAAATATGTACACTCTTTATCAGTTATTCTCAGAGGAACAATGAACACAGTACAATGGACACGTTGGGTCTTACCGAGCGATGCCAAGATCCCCGAGTTTAGCATGAGCCTGTCTTGTCAGGAAAATATTCTGAGGCTTCAGATCCCGATGTAGAATATTTCTGGCATGCAAATACTAAAACAGATAGTCTTCATAAGTTTGTGTCCAATTGTCTTCACGTACCTGTTCATGATTTACACCCACGCTATACAGGTTGGATGTGTTGCCTTTCACTTCTTACATGGCAATATTTAATTTGCAGAGGGTGAATTATGTTCGGTTACTTTAAGCAGACAATTCCTGTCAAACATCTCTTGTAATGTCAATCAATACTGCATGATGATGTATTGCTATTAAATAATAATACTTTAAAGTAATTATGCCAGGTTATATACAGTGATACCCTTGACAGTCCGGAAACACCCTTGAGGGAAATATTTAGATATCATATATATGCAACGTGACATTACTGAATAATAACAATAATAAATATGGAATGTCTTTGCATAATTTTCATTTCATATCTACATTTTGATGCAAAATCACACATTGTCGGTTTCGAGTGGGAAGTGACTGGTCCTGAGCAGCAAACAGAAAGCCTCCTGTTTTATTTTTCAGGCCAGCCGACTTCATCCAAGCGATGGACTCTGACGGGTTACTGTTCCTCTCAACACACTGCACATAAACTTGATACAAAGGTCGTTGAGATGGGTTTGGGCCGAATAGATATGACACTTGGTTGACCCTCATTTCTGTACCGCCCAGCAGTAAATAGCCATCACAAAAATCTACACTGACATTGAAATTATGTCCCATGTCCCTGGTTCGTTTGAGGAAACTGTGGAATACCTTTTTCATCATGAGTCATGGCATGCTTCACAAGAGGATCATCAGACAAATAAATGTGTGCAAAAGAGCACAATTCAATTCTATCATGAAGAGGCTCCAGGTTTATCAAACCACGCCCTCTAAATATGATTCATAAATAAAAGCGATTGACGGAAGAGCGAGGATGGGGGGGTCTATTGTCTGACATGATTCTGCGTATGCGTTAGTCAGTACACCGAATTTCCTGTTTCGTTCAATCAACAACACCAAAAGAATACGAAAGGACGGGTACAGCATAAGTATTTGTGGCTTGGACGTTATTGTGAGCCTTCAGCTCTGAATTCCAGATTTTCTTAAGTCTACACTTGTACTCTGCCCGAAGTTTGTCTTTGTTATTGGCATTGGCATTCAAGTACGTATAGGCCCGACTTTCCACGAAATGGTAAATAACTCCACTCCCAAGTAAACTAGCCAATCCTCTCTATTGTACCTTTCCACATTTCAGACGAAGAATGTTGCATTTGTCGAACCCAAAGGAGATGCCAATATCATCAGAAAAGTACTCGACAAGGAGAATCTTCTATTTTTCAGTGTGGATTCTCCTTTGCCAAAGTTCAAGGTCATCCATGTAAAGGAGGTGAGCAAGAGGTGTTGGGGATCTGTGTTGAGGGTATCCAAGATGATAATTAACCTTCCTCTTTTATAAGCGAGAAGCTTAAACGATTTAGTGACAAACAGTAAAGCGAAGGACTAAAACAATCGCCGTGAAGCAATTTTATTCCTCTTGTAATAGCAATGGGTTCCGAAGTCACCACCTGCCCTTGCGAATACGTCTCAAGTTGAGTTGACCAGCTATTCATTAAATACTTGAGTAAAACAAGTAGTAGCTCGGGGAGGTCAATGCTTTCCAGTGACTTCAGAATCCACTCGTGAGATACAGAACCATAAACTTTTCTGTAGTCTGTCCAACACATTGAGAGGTTACGTATACTGTGGTAAGTTTTAGCCTCTTCAAAGAACATTTTCTGAACTAGCAACTGATGCTTACAGCCCAAACATCCCTCTCTGGCTCATTTCTGCTCTATGTAAATAATGTCATTGGAAGCGTAGTATGACACGCGATTTGGAAGACACCCTGTAAATAATTTGTACTGTGTATTGAGACGGAAGGGCGGAAGTTTTTTATGGACAGTCATATCACATTTCTTCGGGAGAAGTATTGTTCGACCAAGGCAGAACATCCACTGTATCCATAAGAGAATTTAATTAGTGAAGTAATGGTGTTTGGAACAGTTTTCTAAAATAGTAATATTTGTAGTAGTAGTAGTAGTAGTAGTAGTAGTCCATACTTAAGATAGAGTATAGCATCCAATTACCACAGACTACCATTCATGTCATCTCCCACGAAAATTGGGAGAAATTTGAGGGCATAATGAGAGTACACCATCCCATTACCACAGACTACCAGTACCACGTCATCTCTGATCGGAAATTGGGAGAAATTTGAAGGCATAATGAGAGTACAGCATCCCATTACCACAAACTACCATTACCACGTCATCTCCCACGAAAATTGGGAGAAATTTGAGGGCATAATGAACACCCCCTTCCTGAAAGCCATGATGAATGGTATCGGCCAGATGGCTGCGTCCGGAGATCCATGTGTTTGTTTGTTTATTGTTTAACACCACACTCAGCAATAGTCCAGCTATATGACGGCAGTGTGTAAATAAACTAGTCTGGACCAGACTATCCAGTGATTGACACCATGAGCATCGATCCACGCAATTGGGATACGATGACATGCATGAACCAAATCTGACCAACCGATCCCGTTTGTCGCCTCTTACGTCAAACATAGTCGCCTTTTACGGCAAGCATGAGTTGCTGAAGACCTATTACCCCCGGATCTTCACGGGTCGGAGATCCATGTGAGGAGTTTCATACAAAAGACCACTTTGAGTTACATCATACGTGCCTCATGATGACTGGACGTTCGAAAGCTCAATGGTACTTTCATTATATGTCTCTTTAAAGAATTAGCGTTGAACCAAAACATTGATACACTAACCTACTACGTAATCCAAGAATCAAAGTGACGTCACATTTTGTGTGCACATAAATGGATGATGGAAGCAAATGGCTACGGTAAACAAACTTTTCAGTCACGAGTGGGAAATCTTCCGCATTTTCTTATAGTTGAATAGTTGTTTAAATGACCAGTGAGTGTACAAAATGAAATCGTATATTTAAACCACTTGTTTTGGTAGGCTTTCATTTTATCAATGAATCAAGTTTATGCGAGAGTAAAGACTGTCAGGCTATAAAGCAGTTGATATATGAAGAAACTGTTTGGCTTGAGAAAGCTGGGGCGGTCGGGTAGCCTAGTGGTTAAAGCGTTCGCTCGTCACGCCGAAGACCCGGGTTCGATTCCCGACATGGGTACAATGTGTGAAGCCCATTTCTGGTGTCCCCCGCCGTGATATTGCTGGAATATTGCTAAAAGCGGCGTAAAACCACTCACTCACTCACTCACTTGAAAAAGCTACTTAACAGTTGACCTTCTCATTTCATTCTGTCAAATTGACACAACAATCTGCATGATGCGTTCGTAAAATATAAATTTGTAGATTCAATCATCTTTGTCTTGTCGACATAATTCGAATTTGGCGACAAACGCGAGACATTCACAGCAGTCCATTGTGTGATGGGAGCTTGTACATATTGTATTTTCACAGTAGTACATACTGTTCCATAACAAGTTTTACAAGTCATGGTTTTTTTCAGGGGAAAAATTGACTTGCCTTTGCATGTGTTTGTGACGGGTGCCACCGGTGGGGAAGGATACGCTCACCTTTTCGCGAACTCCTGGTATCATCACTATTTGACAGTGATTCAGAAACACATGCTCATGATACAGTCGGAATCGTACAATCGACTCTGCTTTATGCAGAGATTTCTATTGGATATGGAAAGGGTTTTGTCTTCCTATTATTATTAGTAGTAGTAGTAGTAGTTGTAGTAGTAGTAGTAGTGTTGATTATGGTAAAACTGTACTCTTGGGCAATCAAAGATAACAGAATAATTTATTATATACTTCAGTGTGAAAGACTGAGTTTTCTGAAGTTGAGAAAAGTGATATTTTCAATGCAGTGAACATAACACTTGATATTTCACTGCAGTGAACATAACACCTGATATTTCACTGCAGTGAACATAACACGTTGACGGAACTATGTTGGCCTACACGAGACAGCTCGTACACAAACTGTTGATTTACGTCAGTTCAACGTTGACAAGTCATATAATGACAGATGGTCATTTATGTAGTTAATACCGATTCTTACCGTTTGTTATTTTGTTGAAAATGATTTGTATTAAACTGTGAATTTCTCTTCTGATTTGTCAGTCGATACTTTACGTTTCGCAAAGCGCCATTTTGTTACTTGAATTGCGTGTATTCTTTCGCTTCGAACAACCGTCTCGGTGAGAGAAACATGATATTTCACTGGACACATGAAATATCCTCTATATATTTCTGTTCATGATCAATTCATCTTATGACGAGACAATATAATTAACTGGTTTGGGATAGGATGATCGCAATGCATGCAATGGAATACCAAATATAATTTCTAAGGGGGATAATACATATTCCTTCTTTTTGTTTTTGACAATGCAAAAATATCAACCCAAAATGGAATGAAAAAATTACTATTTTACAGTATGGAATTTCACACTAGTGAAATACTCAGAAATCATAGTATTTAGATGTCATGGAAGACATCAGTGATAAAAAGGATGTCCCATGCAATTCCCTATTTTCACTTGTACCATATGTTCCCGTGTTTCTTTCAGGTGAACAATTGACTTGTCTTTGCATGTATTTATGACGGTTGCCACCGGTGAGTCAGATTACGCTCACCTTTTCGCGAACACCTGGTATCAACACTATTTGAAAGTGATTCATTAACACATGTTTATGAAATTGTCGGGATCGTACTTTTGACTCCATGCAGAGATTTCTATTGGATATGGAACGTTTTTTGTCGCTTTATTTACGCTTGTTGACACCAGGAGTAGCAAGCTTTAATTTCGTTTGTATAAACAGTGTGTGACCGAAAGATGAACTTGTAGATCTCTTGTAGATAATAATCCACTTATCAGTGTATGTCAGGAATGTGTACATAGATGTATAACTTTCCAGCAATATCACGGCGGGGGACACCAGAAATGGGCTTCACACATTGCACCCATGTCGGGGATTGAACCCTGGTCTTCGGCGTAACGAACGAACGAATGCTTTAACCACAAGGCTACCCGACCGCCCCTTACAATATACAATTTAACCGACCAACGATATCAGAATGCTATGTGCAGGGCATGCCTTCACATCTAAAGCCTAGTTCCTACGTCACCACATGACCCTGGTATAATGATTACACACAGTTTACCTTTTCCTGTTTGACCTGGTATGAAATTCTTTAGGATTCAGTTTAACTCTGTGCAGAATTGTGCATATTGAAACAATTCTATGTGATTATTTTTCATTCTTGGTCGTTTAGTTATTTGAACGCACTTTATGATACCGCATACTGCAAAATAAGGAAAATCTTGCATACGAAAAACATAGCATCATTCAGGTAGCTAGGTCTTCAGTTATAAAATTGTTTGTTGGCATACGTGACCGAACAGAGTTGACCCATGAAGATTCGGGGTAGAAAAGGTCTTCAGCAACCCATGCTTGCCGTAAAAGGCGACTAACGGGATCGGGTGGGCAGGCTCGCTGACTTGGTTGATGCATGTCATCTTATCCCAATTACGTGGTATGCTTGTCGTAAGAGGCGACTAACGGGATCGGGTGGTCAGGCTCGCTGACCCAATTACGTGGATAGATGCTCATAATATCAATCTCTGGATTGTCTGGTCCCGACTCGATAATTTACAGACCGCCGTCATACAGATGGATTATTGCTTAATGCGGCGTTGAACAATAAACAAACAAAGACCAAACAGAGAGTGAAAAGGGTATGTCAAGGTGTGGAAAACGTAGGACAATTACTGCACGTCACTTTGTTATCATCGGTAACTCCGAGGCCATACTGATTAGGATGCATCGCTGCATGTTGTTTACCCAAGTAAAAAACAATATCAACTGCGATAACACAATTGACACAACGGTATTTATCAAACTACGCTATTCAAGTACATATACATATAGATTTGTACAAAACGAAAGACACATTGCAGGTTAAGCAAAAATAAAATGTTCATGTCGAAAAGAGTATATAAAGACAACGTTTTCATGGCAGGAATATTTCACAAACTGGTGTTTATATGTATTTGTAAAACATTACCTGCAATCACAGTGTAGCATCATACATTTAGAATTTAGCCCGATTTTATTATATAGTATTGTATTAAATAGTATTGATTTTACTGTGGAAGTAATATACGCCAAGGAGGAACAACATGTTTTTACCTTACATTAAAATACGAGCTTCCAATTGGTTAAGAAGCGGGTAGTATTTCCAATGTTTATCGTGTCGGCCATTTTGACGTCTTGTACTTGATGTGAATGTATTATGACGCGCTGTCATTGTGACTGACTTACTGCGGTTGTTATTAAAGACCTTTCTCATATAATGAGGATATTATTTGAGTACATGTGTTGTTCAGAAACTAGAAAATGTTCCCGTTGAGCATGTTGAGCATACATAAATAAGCTCATGGCACCTCTCGTTTTGAGGAACTATTTTATTACGCTATATATATGTTGTATGGCTGTCCGTGCAAGCATGAAGTCACACTTACTTAACATAAATGTGTATGGATCAAGGTATACGTCCTTTGAGGTAAAAATAGTGTGAGGACCAAACATTGTAATAATATGAACATCCGCAAGCTCCGACGTTCATTCAGTTTTGATCTCACTCTATGAAGGTTCATAATCCAATGAACTCACACAAAGTGAAAGTCAACTCTTAAATGTACCCAGTTGTTTAAGCCTTCGAGTATCCACGTCATTCTCAATATCAAAAGTGAAAGCAACCGAGCATGTTTAATGATGCATTATTGTCACTTGTCTTCCAGAAATACGTTGTGTTGAATGAAATTTGTATTTCCAAATTACTCTTAATCGACGTGGGGCCCGGATGGTCAAGTCGCCTAAGGCACTGTAAATGGATGTACAGAAATGCCTCCCGTAGGAGTGCCAGAAACGTAAGATCGTGATTTGCATCCTGGTTCGTCCTGATTATGTTTCTGGGTTTGTCAGCACAACACCGCGCGGATTTTAATAAATCGTTAAATATCTAAGACCTGCATCACTTGGGTGTGTGAGTATGGTTTTACGCCGCTTTTTGCAAAATTTCAGCAATATCACGGCGGGGGACACCAGAAATGGGCTTCACATTGTACCCATGTCGGGAATCGAACCCGGGTCTTCGGCGAGACGAGCGAACGCTTTAACCACTAGGCTACCCGACCGCCCCTTCCTTCCACATCAGACTGACACACGCCGATCGAAAGTGAAATAATTTTCAAAGCAGCGTTAAACCCACTCACTCACTTACGTATACGACATACCTCAAGGGCAGACAGGACCTGCGTCATCCAACACACGACCAGGTCCTCGGGTATCCTGGAGACAGAGTCGTTGAGAAACTGCTGTAGATCCCCACCATCGCAGAATTCCGCGAAGATTAAAAGTGTAGTCCCTTTAAAGTACGAGTCCACATACTGCACCACGTGACTGTGTTCGAGACCTCTCATTAGCTTAGCCTCTTTCTCGGCAAATGCCTTCTCGTCATCGCTGGCCTTGTCTAGGTCCACAGTCTTCAATGCAAGCTGATGGTAAAGTGTAGAGATGTTTTAATATGAAATACAAGGCTGACTGACGAAAAACACAGATGTGTCATTTTAGTTTGGACTGATATGGAGATAAATGGATGAAACGAATGGATAAATATTCATCTGTCTTGTTTTGTGTTGCTTCTTTCTTTCTTTGTCGTGTAATGCCGTACTCAGCAATATTCCAGCTATATGACATCGGTCTGTAAATAATCGAATCTGGACAAGACAATCCAGTGATTGACATCATGAGCATCGACCCTCGCAATTTGGATACGATGACGTGTGTCAACCAAGTCACCGAGCCTGACTACCCGATCCCGTTAGTCGGCTGGTACGGCAAGCATGGGTTGCTGAAAATCAATTCTCACACGGATCTTCACGAGTCGGTGGACTTTTGAATACTTATGAATTAGCTTTAAATGTCGCATGGAGTTGCCTTGTACCATGAAATGAAAGTATCGGTGCCCCAACAGTTTGTCATGCCGCGGTACATGGGTGAGTCACCAACCTAATACATGGTGTCTCTCCCGTATCTGCTGTTCGACGTGTTGTGTGTGATGCTTGATGAATGTGTGTGATGTTTGGGGTGTGACGTTCGGTGTATGTGTGTGATGCTTGGTGTATGTGTGTGATGCTTGGTGTTTGGTGTGTGATGTTTGGTGTAAGTGTGTGTTGTGAGGTGTATGTGTGTTATGTGTGATGTTTGGGGTGTATTATGTTATGGTTGGTGTGTGGTATGTGATGTTTGGTGTACGAGTGTGTTGTGAGGTGTCAGTGTGTGGTGTATGTGTGTAGAGTTTGGTGTTTGGTGTGTGATGTTTGGTGTACGTGTGTGTTGTGAGGTGTATGTGTGTTATGTTTGGTGTATGGTGTGTGATGTGTGATGTTTGGGGTGTCGTATGTTATGGTTGGTGTGTGGTATGTGATGTTTGGTGTATGTGATGTTAGGTGTGTGATATATAAAGTTTGGTGGCGGTGTGTGTGATGCGTGATTTGTGATACGTGGTATATGATTTGTGTGGTATGTTATCTTTGATGTGTGGTATGTGATGTTTGGTGTGTGGTTTGTTATGTTTGGTGTGTGGTATGTGATGTTTGGTGTGTGGTATGTTATGTTTGGTGTGTGGTATGTTATGTTTGATGTGTGGTATGTGATGTTCGGTGTGTGGTTTGTTATGTTTGGTGTGTGGTATGTGATGTTTGGTGTGTGGTATGTGATGTTTGGTGTGTGGTATGTTATGTTTGGTGTGTGGTATGTTATGTTTGGTGTGTGGTTTGCTATGTTTGGTGTGTGGTATGTTATGTTTGGTATGTTATGTTTGGTGTGTGGTATGTTATGTTTGGTGTTATGTTTGGTGTGTGGTATGTTATGTTTGGTGTGTGGTATGTGATGTTTGGTGTGTGGTATGTTATGTTTGGTGTGTGGTTTGTTATGTTTGGTGTGTGGGGTATGTGATCTTTGGTGTGTGGTATGTTATGTTTGGTGTGTGATATGCTAAGTTTGGTTTGTGGTATGTGATGTTTGGTGTGTGGTTTGTGATGTTTGGTGTGTGGTATATGATGTTTTGTGTGTGGTATGTTATGTTTGGTATGTTATGTTTGGTGTGTGGTTTGGTGTGTGGTATGTGATGTTTGGTGTGTGGTATGTGATGTTAGGTGTATGGTATGTGAAGTTTGGTGTGTGGTTTGTTATGTTTGGTGTGTGGTATATGATGTTTGATGTGTGGTATGTGATGTTTGGTGTGTGGTATGTGATGTTTGGTGTGTGGTTTGTTATGTTTGGTGTGTGGTTATGTGATGTTTGGTGTGTGGTTTGTTATGTTTGGTGTGTGGTATGTGATGTTTGGTGTGTGGTATGTGATGTTTGGTGTGTGGTATGTGATGTTTGGTGTGTGGTATGTGATGTTCGGTGTGTGGTATGTTATGTTTGGTGTGTGGTATGTTATGTTTGATGTGTGGTATGTGATGTTTAGCGTGTGGGATGTGATGTTTGGTGTGTGGTATGTGATGTTTGGTGTAGTATGTGATGTTTGGTGTAGTATGTTATGTTTGGTGTGTAGTGTGTTATGTTTGGTGTGTGGTATGTTATGTTTGGTGTAGTATGTTATGTTTGGTGTGTAGTATGTTATGTTTGGTGTGTGGTATGTTATGTTTGGTGTAGTATGTTATGTTTGGTGTGTAGTATGTGATGTTTGATGTGTGGTATGCTATGTTTGGTGTGGTATGTTATGTTTGGTGTGTGGTGTATGATGTGTCATGTGTGGTATGTGAAGCGAGTGAGGTTAAAATACTTTTATGACGCAGTTAGTTTTGCAGTAGTCGAGACAAACACCAGCCGTATAAAAATGCTGTTAGATAAATACGCCACTCCAACATTCCTTGTCATCTACAACACATGCATCTATAGTGAAAACATTACTGACTGACCCTGAGGTAACTTTGCATCACACCGCTTCCTATTCATAAGAAAGAGCACCTGCAACAGTGAAGCTTTGATCTTCGTAAATCTCCTCAAGACATTGTCGCACATCTTTCCAGATGCAGTTGAGGTTAGTGTTGGACACTCTCAATAACTTCATGGAGCATAACGTATGGTGTTAGATATGTGGTGTGTAGTATGTGGTGTGAGGTGTGTGGTGTGAGATGTGTGTCGTGAGGTGTGTGGTGTGAGGTGCGTAATATGTGGTGTGAGGTGTGTGTCGTTAGGTATGTGGTGTGAGGTGTGAGGTGTGTGGTGTGAGGTATGTGGTTCGAGGTGTGAGGTGTGTGGTATGTGGTGTGAGGTATGTGGTGTGAGGTGTCTGTCGTAAGTTGTGTGCTGTGTGTTGTGTATTGTGTGGTGTGAGTTGTGTGGTGTGTATTGTGTGGTGTGAGGTGTGTGTCCTGAGGTGTGTGGTGTGAGGTGTGTGTCGTGAGGTGTGTGGTATGTGGTGTGAGGTGCGTGTCGTAAGTTGTGTGTTGTGTATTGTGTCGTGAGGTGTGTGGTATGTGGTATGTAGTCTGTAGGGTTACAGGCCGGCAAAGCCACATTTCGAAAATAGATAGCCCAAATTGATGTGGCTCTCGCGGCAATGGTTATGGTTGCGTGATTGTATAATGTGGCTCTCGCGGCTATGCTGTCAAAACATGCTTTGTGATTCTAACAGGTTACCGTATATAACAAAACAAGTCTTGTTTTCTCATTTTTTATTCAACAAGGATAACATATTCATCAAAACTTTACATTGATGAATATGAATAACATATGAATATCATAATGGATTTAATGTCATTACTGCAGATGAAGGAGGTCGCCCACGTGGTCAGCATATTCTATCTCACTCAGGTGTTGGTTCAGGAGCTGGATCTTGAGGGACGCAATACGTGCATCGATTGCCTTGTACTTCTTTCTTCGTGAAGGTTCTGACCACTGATGAGAGAGTCTCAGGACTGCAACCTCTTTGAGTGACTGCTCTCGCTGAAATAGCTTCACTACCTCGTAGATGTTCGGGTGGCACTTCTTGGCAAGTTTCTTTATCTTGTTTTGCCACCCTTCCAGGTGATTGTTGGTACGGTGGCCTTGGTTTTCGAAATGGTTCCAAATCTCTGGCATGAAGGCCCATCCTTGAACCCAACTGGTTGTCACGTAGTCCATGAAGGCAGTCCCTTTAGGTGAGGTGGGTGAGTCAGCAATGGCATCAAGTCACACATCATCCACTTTGTCACGAGGTACTAGAGGGAGGGCAGCAGCTCTTCTCACCAGCTTCTTCACCTCCTCATCTTCCTTATAGTCCATCACCAGACCTTCTTTCTGCACCCTCCTCCAGATACATGATACAATGTTCTTGTCTGTAGTGAAGATGAGGATGTCGTCACTAACACGGTGTAGGAACTGGTCGCCTCCCTCAGTCTGGGAGTACTTCTCCTCCAGCTGGATCTGGGGTCTGCTGTCAGGAAGGCGGGGCAAGGTCTTGTGTCTCTGGCGGTAGAGGATAGTGGTGAGAGACTTCAGGGCTGGTATCTGCTTCAGGAGGTCATCTGAGACGATGTCGTGATGTTGGCGTAGTCTGGATATCTCCTCTCCGTAGATAGTGGGTATAGGTGTCGTTTCTGTCCTCGCTCTCTCCATCAGTCTAGCCTTAAAGGCATCAACCTCAAACTCGGATGATAGTGGGTCGTGGGAGTGACCCATGATCTCAATGGCGTGGAGCAACTCAGACTGCTCTTAGACCAAAACTTAAAGCCATCATAGTACAAATGTACGCCTCCTCTGAACTTTATTTGAACTTGTGCGTTTGCCATGGTTCTGATATGGAGTGAACACGACGTCACTTAAATATGTTATGAATAGCAGGATGAACTCAATGTCAATTAAGACCGCCTTTGATCTCTAAAGAACACCACACTCAGTAATTTAAATGTGGGACTCTCATTTAAAGGTATCTCTAAAGAACACCACGCTTAGTAATTTAAATGTGGGACACTCATATAAAGGTATCGGTAATCGGATTAATTAATTACCCGCTAGAATAGGTGAAATGCACTCAGCTGAAAATGTGGCTCTACCGGCAATAGCCATTACTGAAATGTGGCCCTCCCGGCTAGACACCGTCTGTAGTGTATGGTGTGAGGCGTGTGTCGTAAGTTGTGTGTTGTGTATTGTGTGGTGTGAGGTGTGTGTTGTGAGGTGTGTGGTATGTGGTGTGAGGGATGAGGTGTGTGTCGTGAGGTGTGTGGTGTGTGGTATGTGGTCTGTGGTGTGTGTTGTGAGGTGTGACATGTATGGTGTGAGGTCTGGTGTGTGTTGTGTGCTATGTTGTTTATCGCATGTGGTTTGTAATGTATCGTATCTGGTACGTGGTGTGTATTGTATGGTGTGTGATGGGTTGACTATGGTACATGGTATGTAATATACGGTATGCGGTTTGTATTGTATGGTGTGTGATGTGTTGCATATGGTATGTGGTATGTAATGTGTTGTAAAGAGTGTGAGGGTCGTGGGGTTGATGTGTGGTGTGTAGTGTTTGGTGAAACTTCATACATGGATGTAACATATATAGACAATGTGTCCCGTATCTGGCGTATGACGTGTGGTTCGTGATGTGTTGTGTGTGATGTTTGGTGTGTAGTATGTGATGTGTGTTGAGTGGTGTGATGGGTAAGGTGTACATTGTGTGGTATGCGATCTTGTTGTGTGGTGTGAAGTGTGTGATGTGTGATGTGTGGTTCGTGGTATTTGGACTTTGGTGTGTGGCGTGGGATGTTTGGTGTGTGGTATTGGGTGTGATGCGTGGTAGTTTGAATGTGACAGTGTGTAGTGTCCCTTGTGTGGTGTTTGGGTAATGACGTGGTGTAGCGAGAGACGGACAATCAAACCACCTACGCACCGTGAAGCACATTCCACGATATAAAGCTACAACGTTGAAAGATGCACCTTGTACTTGTAATAATCGTGTACTCAACATTAAACTCAAGACAAACATATATTTTGCGATCCATTCTTAATCAACTTACCACTTCATCAGACTTCTTGTCCTTGATGAGATACACGACACCAAACCCTCCCTTTCCGAGTAACTTCACCGCCGTGTACTCCGCCATCAGCCCTGTCGTTCTTGTACTTCCTTGTTGTATTATCCTACACAAAGAGTTATAGTTACAGCTGATACGAGGTTGTGATGAGATGTCGGTTACCGTATATGTGCTACTTAACGTTGCTGTTCATTAGGAAATATTGCTTTTCTCTGAGTAATATGTTATTAATTGCTATTCATTTATATATCCATATCCACGCACGCGCACACACATTCCATAATACATTTATAGACATACAGACAGTCAGAAATACTGAGGCGCAGTCCGCTCGTTTTGCGTTACATTAGGGACTAAGATATACAGAGCGTACGAATGTAATAATGTTTGTTGCCGAAGATCGATGTCGATGTGTTGTATACATAAACTATCAACGCCAGGGAATAATTATAACCAGCCGAAACACTTTTCATTGGGTGTAAAAGGCAAAATAGTGATTGAATTTATGTAAATGGATTACAAGAAATCAGTGATGACACCAGGTGATTGCGAAAAGGGTAACGTCCTGCCCTATCGGTAGCACATGCCACACATTATTTGCCACACATTATTTGCGTACAACAGTGAGTGTCTGTTGCCTGACGTCGGGCAGCAGTGATTCTGCCACGTGACAGTGCCAGAGTGAGTGAGTTTGGTTTTACGCCGCTTTTAGCAATATTCCAGCAATATCACGGCGGGACAGTGCCAGAAAACAAACCAGAAAAAGAAGTTACTGACGAGAAAATCCATTTACACGACAGCATTTACTGAGTTTGTTGAAATGTTAATTATTAACTTCGTCTGTTGTGTTCAGTGAGTGAGTGAGTTGGGTTTAACGCCGCTTTTAACAGTATTCCAGTTATACCGCGGCGTGTCAGCTTAATGTGGGAGGAAAGCCCGAAGTGATGCAGGTCTCAGACGTTTACCACTTCGGTGAAACCCACGAGCGGGTATGGTGCTGACAAACCTAGAAACATAATCGGGGCGAACCGGGATTCTGGCGTGCCCAAGGGACGCAACTCTGCACAGCGAATCGCGGCGCCTTAGACGACTGGGCCACCCATGCCCCCCTGTTGTGTTCAAGTGTAGAGATTCTGCTCATAAAAAAGAAAGGAAGATATATGTTTATTTTGCAACACAGTGGTGGCTGTTTTACACAAATCTCCAATGCTTATTTGAAATGTGTTGCCTCATGATCATGTTTCTGGAGGCGATAATCATTGTTAGTTGAACATGCCGGTTGTCCTGGAAATGAATTGTTCGGAAGCTCAGAGAAAACTTAATTACCGTATTCGACGTAATAAGCTCCCCGCTCTAATAAGCGCCCACGATGACATTTGCTAAGATATTGGCTAGTGAACAATCACAATTAGCACCCCTTCCGATTGATCAATGTACACAAGACTTATTTATTCGCGTATAATAAGCACTCATGTGTTATATGCACCCTTAAGTATGGGTCACTGAATTATTACGTCGAATACGGTATGTTTTATAAATAATTTTATTGTATGTACCAAAAGGTAATCTGTCCGAACTGACACGTGAGTACTATGTATATAGACAAGTATAGTATTATAAGTGATAATTTTGCAACGTAATGAGTATTGAATAGATGCATTATTCCTGGGGTTGTTTTCATATGTTTATCGGTGTGATCACTACATATACACACACGTGTTATTTTATCTTTATAATGTCATTGTTATCACTAACGTATGTTGCTGTTGAAATGTTATCTGTGTTGTGAATATCACTAAGTGTTGATCTTTGGCCATATTGTGACATAACCACAAAACAGAGGCGTCAGTTTGCGGAAAAGCAGGTGGTGTGTACCACGCAAAGTTTCATGCTTTCCATCTTTCATGCTTTTGGTAGAAAGCAATAAAGGGATGCAGCTCATGGTTAGGATCCACAGGTCATGGGTTTGTTTGTTTGTTTGTTGTTTAACGCCGCACTCAGACATAGTCAAGTTGTATGACGGCATTCTGTCTATCGAGTCGGGACCAGACAATGCAGTGATTGACATCATGAGCATCGAGCCAGGCAATTTGGATACGATGACATGCATCAACCAAGTCAGCGAGCCTCACAACCCGATCCCGTTTGTCTCCTCTTACGGCAAGCATGGGTTGCTGAAGATGTAATCTGTACCCGGATCGTCACGGGTCTTGTGGGTTTGAATCCAAGAGTGGCCTCGTATATAACACCCATGTGTAATCCGGGCTAGAATTGGTCCCAAGAAACCCATGCTGCTCGTAAGAAGCCACGTAGTGGGTCGAGAGGTCAGATTAGGATGATAGCATGTCATATCAATCACTGGATTGTCTGATCCAGACCCCATCCAGGCCGCCGTCATACAAGTGAAATATTGCTGGGTGAGGCGTAAAACAAACAACACGCACGACTCCTGTAAAGCTTCGATTGTCAACACCATATCCGTACTGGTGGTTTTCACCAATGAGGTGGTAACGAATAGTTCATTAGTACAAGATCCGGTTTAGAACTGGTCTTAAGCAACCCATGCTTGCCACAAAAGGCGACTATGCTTGTAAGAGGCTACTAAGGGGATCTGGTGGTCAGGCTCGCTGACTTGGTTACGTGGATCGATGCTCAAGATGTCAATCACTGGTCCAGCCTCGATTATTTAAGGACCGCCGTCATATAGCTGGAATATTGCTGAGTGCGGCGTTAAACAACAAACAAACAATCAAACTTCCGAGAAGTCTAGGGGGTCGAATGGGATACCAGGTCCGTCTGCAAGTATTCCTTATTTAACTTAAATTCGGTGGATTTTATCTTTCAGGCCAGTATATAACAGCCCTAAAATTGTCTCGTAACTTTTGTCTACGGACACTTATGAGTTACCCGGTGCCACCTGGCATACTCGTCCCCAAAATCTACAAGATACCCAATGGTGAGGAATGAAGCCATATGGCGCTTCAAGCGTTGAGGTCACGAGTCTGCATGAATGGCTGGGTTTTTCTAACTATTTGTTGGGTGATTTGTGGTGTGGTGTGGGAGGGGAGGTGTCATGATCAGGATAACCTGGATCACAGTAATGAACTAGAAAGACACAGGCACACATGTATATGTAGCTACTGCGCCACGAGGGTGAGTCGGCTTTTGAATCATTACTGATGTAGTGCAGTGAGTGAAGGTGGCCTGGGTGGCCAAAACATGACATGGAGCCACTTCATCCTGCTCAGTCGACGTTTATGTAAGATGAATAAATACATTCAACTGAATATGTGGCACAATGTGAAAACAATAAAATAAACACGTATACGCTGACAAGTGCATTTATTTGCGTGTCATCGGCTCAGATGCTTCAAAATGCATTACAAGGTGGTTCAATCACCTTAGACTCCCTTCACAGCTCGTACACCCTAGCATCCTTTCTTGTCATAATAAATCTAATTGATTTATTGCGATAGAAGTCCTACAGTAGATAGATAGTATTCAGACCTGCGACGTCTGTATGTGTGCAGCGTGAATATCTATATACCTGCAATAATAACCTGCATTCCTGTACAGGATAATGAAAATGACTAAATCGAAAAAAAGTTAGTTCCCATTCATAGCCCCTTTAGTCCCATGAATTAAGTTGAAATTGAAATATAAAATATATTGAAAATACCAGTGCTTTCATTAACAAGTTTTAACCACTTGCATTAAACGCTTATTCAATGGCATTGCGCATAGAGATGATAAATCGTTGAGTGGAGCTTATGCACACACAATGACTCCCAGCAACTCTGTTGCTAGGGTGACGTCAAAACAAATGTTTAAGAAGTGTTTGTTCCAATAACCATTCTGAACGACACACAGTTGTCAGTATTGTCGATGTATAATAACACAGCGAGGTTCGTCAAGATTACTTCCCTTTGCATTGACTGAACAATCTTCTGTCGTCTGTATCTATGTTTTTCAGTTTTCAGATTTGAATAATTGAACAACTTTTAGCTCATCTGATTGCATGTGATACACCATGCTGCGATGCGATGTTATGATAACAGTGTGATGCTACGATAGAAGTATGCCGTGCCTAGACTACAGTGACAGTCCACAGCAATGTATGCATTCACCTTAGTATCTATCTATTGACACAACTTTACAATCACCTTTCAATGATCAGTCAATTGATCAATGATGACTAACCTTTGTAATAGCCACAGGTTCTTTTAAAATTTCGGAAATCTCTCCCGTCACGTTTACCGTTTTACTGAGGTAGTTCTTACCAGACCTTTCTCATATAATGAGAGTAGTATAGAACGGGTCGCCAGCAACCCCCTTTTGGTTGAGGGAGGTTGAGGGAAAATAGGGAAGGTGATTGGTTGATCCAAGTCACGTGATCGGATAGGATGACTCATGCATCAACAGCGCGTCACTACCCTAAATAGACAGACCGTACCCGTCAGCCCAGTTTGAATTGAGCGCGCTTGACAACTGACATGGCCTCGTCGTTTAACCCGCGCTCGCTAGAGCGTGCGATCTGGTTTGATGAATGCAGGGTGTGTGTTGAAAGTACATCATACCACGATAGAGACGGGTTATGTCAACACGATATACGCCGGGTAATGTAGGGGAAAAAATGTACGTCTAGCTGGATCAAATTCATCTTGTACGGTCTACACGTTGTACACCATGAACGTTAGACAACCTGTATAGAAAAAAAAAATAGACAAAATAGATAAGACTACGCAATCAGCAAGCTAGCGGTGTCGTTTACGTTTAGCGCGCAAGAACGAGCTAATGTATAGCAGAGAGACTAAGCGACCGACCGCCCATAACAATGTCAACATACCCCGGCCTTACAATTAATGTTAACATACCAGCCATGCCTGAAGCTTCCCATTCATAAATTGTGTGACCAGCGTCCCGTATTTATGATACGTTAGGGAAGATGTGTTGTACATTTGTTATTTTAAAAGGGAGTTATTTCAGAGAGGATATATATATGGGTATTCCCCCTCATTAAACCTTTCTTTCGTTGGTGTCTATTAAACGTATCCGGTATTTAATACATTGGAATGATGTAGGAAAGTATGTGCGTGAAGATGTTGTACCTATATCCGAACACGAATGTATCACACCT